GCTGCAGCTGTTCAAGACCGCAGTTAGACAATGTGCGTAAATGCTATCCGAAAACTTCCCATAGAATTGCGCACTTTCCATACCGGATGTGATTTCTGTGTCATTGCGGACCATGTGGACAAAATTTTGAGCGTCGCACATTGAAATCCGACCGTTCGTGATTCGAAAGAGAGCCTGAGCGAGTGATCACGAGACGGGAATTGTAAATTTACAACACAGATAAGTTTTACAGAACTTATAATGCTTTTCAACGAAAAAAAAACACATCTCTGTAAAACTGGAATAAAAGAGTAATGAATCAGTCTTAACGGCCGTTTCAAACCTTGCAGAGTCATGACCTTAATGACGCGCAGGTCACTGGTCACGCAAAATCCAACCAATCAGAGCGTGAATTCATCAGAGTATCCCAGCGTCCTGTTTGCAGGGCGGGGGGTACGAACAAAAGGTCAACTGAGATTTTCGTTTTCACGAAGAGGCCACATTATCTTTGTTACATTCTCAGCTGCGCGCGCGTACACACGCGCGCACGTTGAATAGAAAGGGCCAAAATGTTGGAAACTTTATTTTTCGTTTTCACTTAGAGACACATATCTTTACTAATTAATTTTCATTAATTAACTACCATATTAATTCTAATTACTGGGTTCACGTAAAAATTCAGCTTTCATAGAATCATGTGAAGGTTCCCTTACTGCACAAAATTGTTGCAAAGTAGTATTTTTTGCAGTTAAAACGGTGACGTTTTACATGAGCTCGGAAAGATGGGAAAATAATGGTATTTTCTTTTGATGATCATTAGTCTTGATACTCGACATGCGGGTTTCACTTACCCAAGCATCCCATTTTGTTCTACCAAAATTAGGACTTTCTCCTGGTCTCTTATGGTGAAATTTGTCTCGTTTATTCGCCACCCGAATGTAGGTCAATGCATAAATTAAAAGACATATTTCACAAGAAGGAACCACGGGGAAGTCCTTATTTTGGTGAAAACGTGGGATGCTTGGGTAAGTGAACCTGCATGCCGAGTTTCAGGCCGAATGATTCCCAGAAAATAAAAGCCATCATTTTCACAATTTTTTGATCTCATTTCGATATGGCCTAGTTTACTCCAGTGCGTGGTCATGCATATATTGGCGCTACCCTCCGCCCCAACCCCTGCAAGCATTTTTGTGCTTTTTAATCTTTTCAGTCAGTCTACTAGTAGTACTACTTCACTACAACTACTTTACAAGACAGTTCAATCTCCTTTTCTTTCACTTCAGGCCTACCAGGCTCCGCCCCCAACCTCACCTTATTCATTACCCCACAGTATTTCCGCAAGCACTGACTGAGCTGCGCCGGCGGCCACACTCGGTCATGAGCTGCAACTGCGACTGTACAATTGTCCAGGCGTTGGAACTTATTTTAACCACGTCCCCATCAATCATGCAGAGTACTAAATCCAATAATATACATACCTGTTTAAGGCTTAACAATGAAAATTGTTTGCAAAATTTAGCTGTCTGCCGTCTTGTTCCGGTTCTTTGCAGACTTGTATTCGAGTCACCAAACAACGGGTACGAGTCACGAGTCACACAAGTCTGCTTCTTTGATGAAACGAAAATCATTATCACGAGTTCATGCACCAATATTATTTCCTTTCAAAAATGTCATAGCCGGCGTGGCGTTTGAGCGCCCTCAATATATTTCTAAGGATCGACTTTCCAAATTTGAACTTCCTTAGATTGGATTCCCAGAAATGTTCTTATCTAAGTTTTTTGGATTTTCCCGGTTAAGTAATTGAAACTTACAAGTCACCTGGTAATAACAAAAAAAATTATATCTAACAGATTTAGTTTCTAACAAATTTAGTTTCTGCATAACGCAGAGGAGAGCGCCCTCTTTTGATATTGTCTTATCTAGTTGTCCGAGTTGCAGCTTCGACCCCTCAGTATGGTCCGTAGAGGCCCCAACAATGCTTACTGTGTTCGTCCCAGTGTGTGCAATATTTTTGTGACTTTTTCCGTTTCGCCTCATTTTCCAGTTTTCACTAATTTGGACAATGACAGTGCCAAGTATAAATTTTCCACTTTGACTGTAAAACTATTCACAAATGACTTAGCCTAAAACGGGACAACAGAATGTTCTGCTCGAGTTCAGAAATCTTCGGCAGGGGCGGCGGAACGCTTTTTAAACCCGGTGGGGGGGGGGGGGGGGGCAACACCAAAAAGGGGCACCTTCCGTCGGTGTGAAAGTGGAGGAAAAGAATATGGTCCCGTTCATTTCGGTATAAAGCTACATGACAGGGAACAAATTACGACTGTGTCCATCCTTTTATAGCTCCATGCTCAGGCCATGCTCGCGTGGCGACGATTGACTCAGTGTTTTTACCCCATACACCGCATACAAAAACAAGCGCCAATGTAACGCACATGCAGGCACCAGACTATTCCTCATTTGCATACGTGTTCAAAAATCTTGCACATGCAAATGATCCAATACCAGGGTGAGAGAGCAAGTAGTGATGGGCGCGTACTGCTCGACACCCTGGGGACGAGGTTGTGCATGCTGGGAATCCAACATGACTGTCACATGTACAAGAAAATAAAGCCGCATTTAATTTTCACAAATGCCCTTTTTTGGCCACTGATAGGGATTAATACTAATAGACAATTTGTACAGGATTTGTATCACTGAAGTGTTTCAACTTGTATTTCTGAGTAATTTGGTATGAAATTGAACACAAACGTCGCTCTGGTTTTTTTTTTCAAAATGGAGATGGGTTTTTATCGGGACTACTTTTACTATAGGGATGCAGGCCAGCAAATAAGCCCGAAATTGCCTTCGCCGGCCGCGCCAAATAACGATTTGCATGCACTTAATATTGTTTTTGCTATTATTTAGAGCATATGGGTCGGTTTGTAAAAAGAAGGGTGGAAGCCGTAGACAGCACTGCAAACTCGTATTTCTGTGAAATTCGGATGGAATTAGGCCCTAAATTTGCTCTGTTTTGCAACTTAGCGTAGGCGTCATTTTTTCAAAGGGGCGAAGGGCATCAGGACCACTTTTTTTTTTTCCTAGGAGAGTTGCGAGTACTTTTCCTGAATTTCGGAAGTGGGAGATTTACCACTGGGGTCTATGGTGGTTTATTTACTGGTCTGCAACCCTAGGTGATTATCTTCGGAAGGAAAAATCGTCTTAAATCATAGTTAACCCAGCCTCGTTCCCAGGATCTACTTTGAACCTTGGGAATTGACACACTCGTACCCTACATTCTCGTCTCGTAAAAATCACAAGATCTCTTTAACATCGCATTGGCAATTGGGAATAAAATGATCACGGGAGAAATTCATTTGTTCGAAAATCAAACCGATCTCCAATTAAAACCCCGAGAATGCGTCGACTCCTTTATTTAAAAATATCTTGGAGTTTTATTCCTCCTTCAATTAATGTGATGAAAATCTGCAAACCAAAGTTTCACCTAAATCATTAACTCTGTTTAAATTAAGAAAGCAGCATAGTTTTACTGTGCAGGTAGAACTCCTGGGTCAGATTGACCCAGAATCTGAATCTACATTTGCTCAATTCTTTTCTGGGTCAAAAATGTCACTTTTTTAGGTCAAAATGACCAATATAAATTTCATTTTTGACCCGGAAAAGTGTCGTGTTTGACCCGGACAAAGAAGAGCAAATATAGATTCAGATTCTCGGTCAAACAGACCCGGGATCTTTTAGAGTGTACAATTAACTGAGGAATTTACCGTCGTTTGAGTTGGTAGACACTTTACAGAATTTATAAATCTTTTTTTTTTTTATAAAGTTCAGCACGGTTCATTATATGATGTTCTGTTTTACATTAAACAGTATAAATCTAAACAACTGCTGGCACGAGAACACAATCATTTCTACATGATTTCTGAAAGCCCTCCCTTTTTGCGTACTACACAAGTAGACGGACTAATTGAAGGAATTTAACTGTTAAATTAGTCGGGCGAGTCAGAAAAAAAACAAATTTGAAGGACAACTTTCGCTTTTGAGAGGCCAGCCAATTACAGCCAAAATACAGAATTCATCAATCACTTTTTCTTGATCAATCAGCTTTTCTTGATCAATCAGCTTTTCTTAGCTCGGCACCACGGTTACTTTGCAAATATTACAGCATGCATCTGCATTTCATTATGGTATTTAAAATCTTAACAAATACTGGAACCCAAAGGTTTTCCCCCTTGAATTTATGGAACTACTAGAACTATTCATAAGCACCCACTGAAATGATTCCGTCTGGCTTGATGTCATTTACATGTACAAGAAATGTAGGTGATTTTAAACGATTAGTCAATTGACTGATTTTTGGAAACAAAGAGTGCTATTGTCAAAACAGTTTTGTGTGATCTAAAGGTTGTGCATGGTTTTTCAATGTTTTCTCGAAAAGTGTAATCTCCACTGAGCTGAAACTGCTGTGGGTTAGGTTTTGAACATTCTTCATTGGGTTTGGAGTGTTTGTATTAAAGGGAGGATACAACATTTGCAACCATCACAAAACGAAATGATCAAATTATCACGAAATATCTCACTGGGTTGTTAGGGAATGACAGCCTAAAGCATCCTTTAAAGTTACGGCTCCTGGTGTGCTGACATTTTCAAGAAAAAGTGTATTTTTCCAACGCTGGTCGGCCGACCAGCGATAGAAAACACTGGCTTTTTTCAAAAAGTGCTCATAATTTTTCATATTTAGTTTGTCTGCGTTTTTCTTTGCAATTGATTACACACCTGTGAAGACTACAAGCCTGCTAGACTGATCCTCATGATCCTACAATTCCCCAAAGTCTATAAATTGCTCCGGTTCATCTTAAGTGGCGTCAGGGAACCAGACTACAAGAATAAGATTGGTTTTCTTGGTTTTTCTACTTTCCAGCATCTACGAACCCAAAACGTGAAACAAGCCAGTTTTAACAATATTTGCTATAACATACTGATCCTCCATATCAATGTATTTCTGAAAATTGCAGCAAAAGCAAATGTTGTACATTCCCTTTAATGGAGACGAACAAAATGCATAAAAGCAAATGATTCTATATGCCTTTAAGTACCTATGCCTTATCTCTACAGCTACACGATAAAAAAAGCAAAAGCTTAACAGGTGCATTTTTTTGTTGGATGGGATGCAAGGAGCATTGTTATAATTACAAAAATGCACCATTTTAACACAACCCTTCAAGGCACATCGTAAGTAACTCATCCCCACAAAGTGCCGTTGGGAAAGAAGTCATACAAAAGGTAATGCAGCAATACACAGATCTGCATCACGATAATCGAAAATATAACATCTAGTAGGATTTGTAAAATATACATTATCAATTTCACAAAATGGGTTGCCATAAAAATGTGTTTTTTATACTCACTGAATTCGCAACAAACTGCAATATCAGTGACACTACTCAAAATTATGGATTATAGATCTATACGCTGGCATTCAAAAATATATTCCTCCATCATAATAATGAACCAATCATCAAAAATACAAACAAACAAAAACAGAAAGTACCAGAAGAAAATAGTACTTTTCATTTCTTATTGCTCTTTACATAATACATGCAAAAGTCCATGATATTAAGATAACAAAGACAATCTGAACATTAAATTTTACCATTTGACATACAAAAAAAAATCAAATTCATAGAGAAATATACAGTGAAAAGTTGTCAAGAGTTTATTTTGGTGTTTATAAAAGCTGCATAAAAAGGCTCACATCAAAATCTAACCTGCAACTTCATACAATACAAAGAAATGATTGAAAAATTATTGTTGCATAAACCAATTTGGAATGGAAACTTCTACATAGTTACAAAATATTTCAGACAAAATCATCCTGATTACTGCAACATTTACTTAATTTCAGAGCATCATCTCACAATTTCAAGTATCATGATTGTGTTTTTTCAATTCTGTGATAAAAAAATGGTCTGTCTATATAAAGGCACTTCCTTTTCATCTGATGGGTCTCCTAAGATGCTTGTGATACTTTGCACACCGACTCACGAAAAATTCTGAAAAGACAAAAATTTAAAACTTGAAATTTGAGGGGGTCCAGATGAGAAATGGCAACTTCTGTAAGCCATGTTCCATGAAAATCCATGATCCAATGGGTCACTATACATGTATCTCTTGACGTATAGCTGAAAAAAGTGTCTCCAGAATCCAGATAAAGCAAAGTTGCAAACTATGGTATCAGCAGAGTTGTGGTGAATCACAAGTCAAATCACAAGTCAAATCACCCATCAATTCACACGTCAAATCACAAATAAGTCAAATCACCAGTCAAATCACAATTAAGTCAATCACCAGTCAAATCACAATTAAGTCAATCACCAATCAAATCACAATTAAGTCAATCACCAGTCAAATCACACGTCAATTCACAAGTCAAATCACAAGTCAAATCACAAGTTAAATCACAGGTCAAATCACCAGTCAAATCAAAAGTCAAATCAAAAGTCATCTCACAAGTCAAATTACAAGTCAAATCACAAGTCATTCACAAGTCGAATCACCAGTCAAATCACCAGTCAAATCACAAGTCAAATCACAAGTCAAATCACCAGTCAAATCACAAGTTAAATCACAAGTCAAATCACCAGTCAATCACAAGTTAAATCACAAGTCAAACCACAAGTCAAATCACAAGCCAAATCATTAGTCAAATAACAAGTCAATCACCACTAAAATCACCAGTCAATTCACAAGTCAAATCACTAGTCAATCCCCAGTCAAGTCACAAGTGATGGGGACAAATAATGACAATGGACTGTCGTTGTCACAGTTCACTTGAAAAGCTTGTGACTTGACTCTGCATAAGTTGTGATGGTTTTGTGGAAACTTAGCGATTCAGTGAACAATGTTGATCTGCATGGTTTTTTTTTTTTTCTACATGTATTTGAAAATAGCCGGATGACACATGTACAACAAAAGAAACAAAAGATTACAAAAACTGTTACTAAAAAAATAAAACTTCTGACATAGAGAAGTGTATACTCTACAAGGAAGCTCATGTAAAATGGACAAGCAAGCTTAAGTTTCATGTGCACAATTTATGAACACTATGGCAGACGCGAAAGAGGTGGGGGTGGGAGGGGGACTGCAACCTCCACCCACCCCCGACTCCCAGCTGTAACTCAACTAGCGCCTCCTAAGCACCCCCCCCCCTCCTCCATTGGCCCCCGCCAAAATCCCAATGAGTAAAATTTGATTTTTTTTCTGCCTTCAACTCCATTCTCATCACAGTTGAGGCTTGAGTTACGAATGGGAAAAGCAAACAAATCATTTCACGAAAGGAATAATGCAAAAGAGAATGTGCTGAAGAGTTAGTTCCACATACATGATACCCTACATGACACCTTTGCTAAAAATGATCAAGATATGCATGGCATTTTTTTAGGACACTCAGAAAGACGCGTTTAGAAATATAGAGACCAGTTGCAAATAAGAATTCTTTCGATGCGACCAATGGTTTTCAGCAGCAGTGGTGGTTTGTAGTTTAAAATTACAACAGACGAAAGAGTTTAGAAATATATATCCAGTAGAATGGAAAATGTATATGTTTCTAAAAAGCATGGCAGTTCCATTTGATGAGGCATATATCAATTTGGGATGCTTACAATTTGGGCCTCTTAATCATGTAATAGTTTCTAAGTTGCTCCATGTATTTCTGTCAACAAGCCCTGTGTTTCACCCTACAAAAACAGGAAACAATTACAAAAACCATGATTCTTTGAGCCCTCGTTTCCAGTATCCTGTAAAACTGAGCGGACCTGTTGAAGAATTTGACAGTTGAAAAGGGGGAAGGGGGTAATTAGGTGCCTGAAGCCACCTTCTATGGGCTCCGTGCGTGACCAAGAGAGGGGGTGCAATTTGCCTAGCAATGGTGCCTTCTTTGTAGGGACATGCACTTTGCTGGTTCACGCACGCACTGCACGCAGTGTGTGAATAGCGATACCAGTACGGTCGCAAAGCAAGATGGCGCCCTCTCTTTTCAACCAGTGAGGGGGTACTTCTACACGAGGCGGATATACAAGTTTGTGTGTTACTGTCTTTAATTTCCAATACCTTGAATCATATGAGTGGACAGCAGTCTATAGACTAATTTGGCGACAGCCATTTGCTGCGGTGGCACCAGGCTGACAAGAGTCGTACTCAGGTAGTATGCACGCACTTCGGGCTCCTTCAACCAATACGGTTAGCAAAATGCGCACATGCCCCATCTTTAGGAAAGCGTGCAGAATGCACGTGAGTGTGAGACTTGTCCCCCCCCCCCCTTTTTAAAGTGAGGGATATCATATTGTTTGTTGCCCCCACTTCTAATCCCTGAATAAAAATTGTAGCCTTAATTTGATTCTATAGCTCAGAATTGCTGATTCCATGAGAACAAACTCAAAAATGATATTTAAATATTTACCTTTTGCTCATAGAAAATTTGTTAAAGTGGTCAGACGTTGCCTCAGATTGCACAACAGAGCATCTAGAATCCAGAATTTTTCTAGTATCCAAAATATTTCCTGACCCCATGTCGTTAGGGGTTCTCGCTTGCATTTAATAGTTCTGATAAAGGTCCCCCCCAACTCTTTTGAGAAGCGATTGCCGCCCTTGACTGGAACTCTCATGGATAGTTCTGAAGTGCCATTTAATGCACAGGGATCATAGGCATAGCAAGGTGATTATTTGAGGGGGGTTACAAAAGTTTGTGGAAAGGGCACTTGCAAATCCGTGCTGAAATGTAGACAGTTTTTCTCCGGACACTTGGCCTCCGTAAAATCCAAAAGTAGGGGGTCGGGGGAGGCAGGTAGCGTAATTTTTATTCCTAGGAGGGTTAGGGGCAATGTCATGAATAATTCATGTGTATCCATGAGAACGGACAATGACATCAACAGCATTGTTGTTAGTTACTCAACTATAGTTACAATACATTAAAGCATTTTAAAGAACGGTTGTCGTCGAGCTACCACACAGTAGCCTAGTGGATAGCGAGATGAGCTATGAATACAAAGATCCCTGGTTCGAATCCACGTCGTCGCTGCTCATTTTCATCAGCTATTTTTCTTCTCCAAATTTATCACTGAGATAATTTTAAATTAAGGGGAAAATAGAACGAGAACCTAAGTCTTGCAATGATTCAAAGGAAAAACTGAATTATTCATGACATTGCCCCTAACCCTCCTAGGAAAAGAAATTACGCAGGCAGGTACCATTTTTCAATGGGCGCTGTTCAAATTGGACGTTCATGGAGACTTTCGGACAATGGGTGGCGTTTTTCAGGCTGACACAATTGTCCACGGTCACTCAAAGTATTAAAGAGGGGCAATCGTTCAAGGTCGCTGGTAAAAAAAAAAGGGCGCTTGTTTAAAAAGGGCAGTCTTTACAAAATATTGGGGGTAAAAACCCTTCCTCCTCCCCCCCCCATTCAAAAATTTGGAGAGAACTACAAGGTGAATAAAAAAAATTACAAATTAAAACAAAGCACTTACCTCGTAATCAGGGTCGTTATCAGCTCCAGATTGCACATTGAGATATTTCTTCTTTTTGTAGTAAGCATGCCCCTTCATGACGTAACACACAATGATGTCGCAGGCAGATGTGGCCTGTGCAGAGAAAGAAAGGAGGTCCAAATTTGGTTCATATTAAGTTGCACTAGATGTTATTTTACTTACTGCGAGAAGCACTAAACGTTCTTACATTTGAAACGATTCCTACAAGCATTTCATTTTATATATTGATTTACATGTATTCCTCTTTGTGTTTCACATAAGTCTTGGCACTTGATGGAACCAAAATAAATGAGAAAAAAATTAAGGAGAAAAAAACAGTATCTCTACACTAACTGCTTCTGGTTTGATATACTTTTGAATGTTAGGCAGTTTCTATTTGAAAGCATTTCCTTCAGGAACTTGTGAAATTTAATACATTTAGTGTTAGCGTATTCACTGATTATTTACCAGTATGCAGACGAATATATTTCATGAAGGGTAAATGAAGCAAAGAAGGTGGTTACTTCAAACCACAGCTTCCACTTCCAAATCCCCTACATGACCATTATTTATGTATATTCCTCGCTTGCCTATGCCCAGTCCCTAACTCCCAACACAACTTTCCCTTACTAAGCTATCCATCCAACCTGTACCATACCTTAACCCTCTCCTACTCCAACCCCATCCTTTTTCCTTTCCTTACCATTCCCTACCTTTTACCTACTTTTCCTTACTCCTAAGCTATCCATCCAACCTCTACCACACCTTCACCCTCTCCTAGCTACTCCAGCCCCATCCTGTTCCCTTTCCTTACCATGCCCTACCCTTTACCTACCTTCCCCTACTCCTAAGCTATCCATCCAACCTCTACCATACCTTACCCTCTCCTACTCCATCCCAGTCCTTTTTCCTTTCCTTACCATTCCCTACCTTTTACCTACTTTTCCTTACTCCTAAGCTATCCATCCAACCTGTACCATACCTTCACCCTCTCCTACTCCATCCCCATCCTTTTCTCTTGCCTTACCATGCCCTACCCTTTACCTACCTTCCCTTACTCCCAAGCTATCCATCCAACCTCTACCACACCTTAACCCTCTCCTACTCCGTCCCAATCCTGTTCCCTTTCCATTCCCTACCCTTTACGTACCGTCCCTTACTCCTAAGCTACCCACTTCACCTCTACCATACCTTAACCCTCTCCTACTCCATCCCCATCATTTTCCCTTTCCTCACCAATCCCTATATACCCTTTTCCACCATTCCCTTAACCCCTTCCCATCCCATCCCTACCGTTCAAACTATTCCGTAACCCTTTCCCAATCCCGCCCCACTCTTTCCGTACCTTTTTCACCCTTGCCCTACTCTACCCCACCCCATCTCCTCTTTACCTTGCTCATCCTTTGCCCAAGACTTACCCTAAGCTACCCTTTCCCACCCCATCCTCCTATACCCAATCCTACCCTTACTCCATCACTACCCCTTCTCTATGCCATCCCGACCTATCCCCCCCCCCCCTCCTCATCACCCCTACCCAACTCCAGCCTATCCCTACCCCTACCCTTCACTAAGCACCCCAGCCCATCCCCTACCCTACCCCGCCACTCCCCTAGTAACTTACTATGGTCAGGAGAGCCAAGCCCGATCCAATATTCAGCATCAGCGGCACGAAGTCAAACTTGCCAGCCGTTCCGGTCACTATCACCTTGAACATGATCCCGTAGGCTTTGAACAGTGTCCGCGTGTCTGTGCCATTTGCATCTTGGTAAAAGTTGGAGAACCTGCAGAGGAAACATGTCAGGAAATCGGAACTAAGTTCTGCTGAATATTAATATGTGACCTACTGCGGCAAAATGAGGAATGTCCCCCAAAACCATGTTTTGAGTACAAAACCATGTTTTGAGTAATCAACGCCCAAAGTTGAATACTCTAAAAAAATTGTGTCAAAATGAATATCGTTTTTTTTTCTTCTTATTTTGGAGTAACCAAACATTTTAACATAATGCACTTAACTTGAAGGGTCAACAGTGGGGGTTATTCCTCATTATGATATGGCAGGTCACATATACATGTACATACATACATGTATATATCAACTTCTCATTTCGTGCACAATGCAAACTGGCCACGAACCTTGTGCAAAAAAACAACAACTTATGCCGAAAACTGATTTGAATAACACTGCCATCGATATTGATGACAGTGATGTGCCTGCTGTCCTTCTGCATATTATGCAGCGTATTCTCAGGCAGGGCCTCTCAAAAGGATTGTTTAATATCAAAACTGTGGACCAGTTTAAGCCCAGTCCATCACAAGTCCTTCAGAAGTAAATCACAAGTCCATTCACAAGTCCAGTCTCCAGTAACACACTCAGACTGAAATTTGTATCCTTGTGGAGACATTTCTATGTTCTCGTGTAGTAAAGTTTTCGAGTTTGAAAGTGTAGTTTCAAAATGCTCTTATTTTAACAAGGATTAATTTCCTTGGCTGAAATTCGGACTTAATATCCCTTTTCTAAAAGTAAAACTCTTTCATTTGTGACAGATCAACCCACCATGGACATTCCTTGTTTTTTAGTAAACTCCATATTCGTGAAAACCTTGTGGAGACATATTAATCTATAGAAATTGCCCTGTGGAGACGTATACAATCTTTTGTTCCCTATTGTGTGCATGTCTCCAGAGGGCACGGTGTATCAGATCACGATAAACAGTGACAAGGGAATGTACTGCTTACTGTTTATAACAGCTTGTGAATTGACTTGACACTGGATGAGGGATTGGATATCTCCAAACCTGCGGGTAGCCGGGTAACCACCGGTTCCCAACGGTTTATTCCCCTGATCTAAAATGAGCTCTTTATCTACGGGTCACCACACACCTCAGCCTACATCAGATGTTTATTTAGTTGGCTCTGCCTGACAGTAAAACATGGCAAACGGAACTTCAAAGGCTTTTGGGTAATGTAATTCATTATATGGTGGCCTGCAGCAGAGGGTGGTTCCTATGCTGGCACTCTGGAGCTGACTGGATTGTTAATGAGCCATGGAATGTTAATGAACCGGTTACCCGCTGGTTACCCACCAGTTACCCACCGGTTACCCACCGGTTACCCGCCGGTTACCTGCCGGTTACCCGCCAGTTACCCGCCAGTTACCCGACAGTTGGATATATATCTGATCCCTAACTTGGGATTGACTTGTGAGAACTTGTGTTGGATTCAACTGCAACACCGCAGTAGACTATGATTTAACTGTTCCTTTTATCTCTACTTTGCTGGCCTTTAAAAAAATCCTGTCATTCTACACTCTCTACTATGCTACTGCACTCCTTATAAAATCTTTGGTACCCCTACCTGAAGTTGTACCCCTTTGCCAACTTTGCGTTTTTGTTGTCCAGCCTTGCGAAAGTGTAAACGGGCGTGCAGTCATCCCAGTTGTAGTCCAGATTACAATCCCAGTTGATAGAGATGGCAATGACACCACCCTGATGCCGCAACACAGAACGACAGAATTGGATCCAAAGAAAAGCCGTGAGAATAAGGATTTAGTGATAAGCAAAATTCAACATTAAAGAGGTTGTGGAATGCTCGAAGACATTTCCGTCATTTTTCGGGTATATGTAGCCTAAGGTGTGATGAAATAAAAATGACTATTGTGTCTGTCATGAAATGAGTACAAAAGGTACTTTTGAGAGCTGTTTTTCAGGTCCTGTTTCGACCCGAATGTGCAATTTGTGTAAAATTCGTCGTTGGGGGCAGCAAACAAAACAAAGTAAATCGTGACGTGATAAACAGGACTCGTTTATACTACGCTGCATCAGGAGTCCTGTTTATAACGTCACGATTTACTATGTTTTATTTGCTGCGCCCAACGACAACATTTACGGAAAAATGACGGAAATGTCTTCGAGCATTCCACAACCTCTTTAATGGTACACAGGATCATTGGTTTCTTCAGGAATTTTTTTTTTTTTTTTTAAGGCAAATTGCTCAAAATCTTATATAGGGTTCGTAACAACAACCCTATTGACGTTTCAGCTTATTAGTGAATGCTACATACATTTGAAACAGATAAAACCTAGCACAATTTTTGGTCTTGAATGTGGATTCTGTTGCTCAGGCCCCAATTCAAAAGTTGCAGTGTCTTATTTCGAAATACAGCCCCCTGTGAAAAATCCCTAAAACAGGGACAAGAGTCTCAAGTAAGATTTGAGGCTTTGCATGGTGGAGATACTAAATAATGAAAGGTTTGCGGAAACACCATGTGCGAATAATTTCTCAACTAAGAGAATGGTTCTGAAAAGAACCAGAGGTACCAATGGTTCTGAACCTCTGGTTCTTTTCAGAACCATTCTCTTAGTTGAGAAATTATTCGCATATGGTGTTTCCGCAAACCTTTCATTATTAAGAGTCTCATTTTTAGTTGGTTAGTGTATGTGACGTCTAGGTCCCAGTGCCCGGGACTATTAAATACAGTGAAATCTTGATAAGTCACAACCTGTTCACTCAAAAACCCTTCTAACTCAAAGTAAAAACTTATTCCCGTCAATTTTTGTTGAATATAAAATCCATTGGATAACTTGAAACTCTGCTTAACTCAAAATGTGAGCCAATTCCCCTGAGGTTTGACTTATTGAAATTCCACTGTACTGTCAATTTTTAATTTTTTTTTTAGTATTGGCCCGGCACACTTTAATATATTTTTTTCAAAACAATACCATTTCAGGTGGGATTAACTCACTGGTAGCATTGCCAGAAAAGAATGGGTCGGTAGGTAGGGTATTATTTTGTTCACATATGTACAAAGTGCATAGATGTAAATGAACATATTAGAGAAAGTATTCTGAAGTTGAAGATTTTTATTTCACTTTCAAAAAATATTTATGTATATGAATAAAATCTAAAATTAGGAACTTTAAAATAAAATAGAAAATGAAGTCTGGAATAAGATTGTCATTCTCATTTCAAAATATGTTGGATGTTTTTTTTTTTGTGGGGGGGGGGGGTCCATTCTTTCAATTCCTTCAACAAAGTTAGCTTACATGCATGACATGTACACTGTAGTTTTCCAACATCGCATAATGGCACCCTAATGTACATGTACAATGTACAATGGCACCCTAATGTACATGTAACTCACAAACTACACACAGAAAATATGTTGTCAATTCAGTTTCATAATCAATTTTCTAGAATGCGATAAAAGGGACGGCTGAACTCACGCTGTAAGCTAAGGCATTGTAGTCTTCGCCGGTCGCATCGATGATGTCGCCGAGTTTGAAGATCGGACAGAATCGATCCAAATGGTTGTTGTACATGCAGCCTTTAAGGTAACTGGTGTTGGAACTCTCCAATATATTACGCCTGAAAAGAAAACACAAATACAAACGAAAATTACCAGTAAAGTTGGAATCACAGATATTTTTACAGTGTGAACTTTATGTATAGGGCTGTTCATCAGAACCGGGTACCCGAGTACCCAACTGTTGATGTCAGGAACTGGTTCCAGATTATGGGATCAGGTACCTGGAACCAACTATACAAATTACTTAGTAACTTCTCAGACAATGAAAAAGCAATGTTTGAATGTCATTTGTGAGGAGTTTTCAAAATGAAAGCCAAGCTACATGGGAACACAAAACAAATTTCACATTTGTGACGCTCGCGAAAGTTGCAATTTACACACCGTCAAGCTATCAAGCTCACTGTACACGCTTGCATCTTGCTGTATTGACGCATCGATATGGTAGTGTTATCGTGCGGACCTTTATGAACAATCTCAATGGCAACTTTTGAGATTTGAATTTTGGGATTGGGTTTCTTTAAAGGGTATCCGGATACCCTTTTTTTCAATCGGGTACCCAGTTCCCATACTTCTCGTAAATGCACACTCCTACTTTGTGTATTTTTTTCGCACCAATTCGGGCGATTCACAATGCAGTGCGCCCCCAAGAGTTTGCCACGGAGAGTTCATTTTTCCCAGTGCATTGTGGGAGATGGTCGACAAATTCGCAGCGCGGGACATTTGAAATTGTTCGTTTTTCCCGTCAACTGTTTCGTAAGCGTATGAATTGAGTATTCTGTTTACCCCTTTCTTTTCTTTTTATCCATATGGTGATTTTTGTAAGGCGGCAGAATGCCATGCCCCAATGTATGACAAATTAGCTCAAGTTGTCTACTGATACTCATTCAAATGGGCCATGTCTTGTCGACCGTAAACTTAAAAAATGGACTCTCCGTGGCAAACTCTTGGTGGCGCACTGCATTGTGAATCGCCCCAATGGCGAAAAAACAAAAGTCTCCTAAAACCTTCAGCCTTTAGAACACAATCCAGTAATCTTCTTTAATACTGAGCTCCTGGACTCTACGTTGACCGTCTCCCAATTTGTCAATTTCTCAGGTCTTGTTCACTTTTTTGGTGTGATTGTTTGTCACATTTATTGCTAACATTGCATCTGCACCATTACTTTCTAAAGCAGAAAATTAACTGAAATGCTCAATTTTTCCAAAATGTTAAACTTCATTCGTATTATTTTTGCAAACAACATAATAATGGAATATATAAAATGAAATGCAAAACAGGTGTTTGTCGTAAAACTGTCCAAGCTCATATTTCTAAAAATCTGCTGCGATAACTGAGAATTTTCACCTACTTGGAGAAGTGAAACTTGGAGTAGGTAGCAGTGTTCTTGATCAGCACGGTGAACCGCTCAGATTCATTCAAGACTGCTGTAACATTCCTGTTAAGTCGTGTTTAGAGGGATGGAAACAAATGCCAAAGTGGAGGTGAAAATTGGATGGGTGGGTGAGGCTTGGTCCAATTTAGATAATTTCATCATTCGTTAAGCGATTCCGACCCTGGGGGCCCCTCCCAGGGGGTTCTTTCTCTTACGAGTGTATGTACGTACAGCGTGTGTCCCTGTATACATTCACATTCAGCCAGTTGTGTTTTACTATACTCTCGAGGACAATGCTTTGTGTTTCCCTTTGTCCCTGTAATATAACACTCTCCCATAAACTAAGCACATAACTGTATGATAGAGAACCGTTTTCAACAAAAGACTCAATGCCCGAGGACTGAAAGGATCTGTTGTTCTCCCTTTGTGTGTCGGTCCTCGGGGGTTATGTAGAACACGTACATGTACGCGTACACATACACACGCTGCGATTGCATCTGAAACGGGAACTCCCAAGCTACACGCCAATATGACTATAGAGGTCGCTGTTCATATGGGTAGACCTGTGAGTGCGTTTGATTACTTCCCCTACGCTTACTCGTGCAAGCGCGACAGCGTTCGATAAACTTCGATTTACCTCTCACGTGACTTCTCGCGCTTACTCGAGCCTGGCCCAAGTAACCGACTCGCCGAGCCGGTTACTTGGGTAAGTATCCCATAAGGCCATGCAATAAACATGGCTGCCAACGTGACGTCCGGCGGGCGCCTCAGGCCGTGTCCGAAACGGGATTCCAGAGCTACGGCTATGGGTCTATTGTGAGCGCGTCCCCGCATATTTTCAATGGGCGTGGACCTAGACCTAGACAGTTGATTCAGATGCAGGTGTGTTATGTCAAAGTTCAACTTTCGATCCAGCTCTTCTTGCACGAAACTTTACCCGAAACCGTTCGTTTAGTTAGCTCCACTGCGCATGTCTGTCATCACGTGAGGAGCCAGGCGCGAGTAAGCTGGGGTATATACAGCATGACAAAAACAGCACCGATTTTGGGCGCAAAAGGTTTACAGAAGGGGAACAACTTCTCATGATAATCAATCGCTACATCCAGGGGGTAACTGCCTAGTACAAATCAATGTTGTAATATGACTCGAAATCATAATGGTTAAAATTAAAACAGGAAAACAGGACTTACGTTGGGTTCATGTCATACTCCACTGGGCACCAAGCATCAATTTCACATGTGTCAGTTGTAGTTCCATTAGGAAAATGGTAAGGCACGCATTTACCAGTCCGAACACCTACAAGAAAATAAATGGTGGCAACTGTCTTGAAAATATGCTCAAGTTTAGAAAACAAAACGCAGTTCAAATGAACAAAGGCAATAAAATTAAACACCTCCATCAGATTTCTGCCATTAGAGATGAAATACTTACAGTTGCCCTCAAAATGTACTAATCTTATTAAAGTCAAATCTATCAATAAATGTTCAACTTGTATGTTATATTTCGACCAAAACAAAAATCTTTTTCCCCTTTTTATTTGAATGTCTGCGACACTTTAAAAAAAAAGGTTTTGTTTTTGGCACAAACAGGTCCACTGGCTTCTGTTCCGTAAATTATTTTGATTATTTTTTTTTTTTGGGGGGGGGGAATATTTTGATGTTGGTGGCACCACTTACACCCCTATTATACTACTCAAAAAATAGGCCACATACATGTACATATCACCAAGGTCAAATTGTGGGACAAAAAAATACCAAAAAACAAAGAGACCTGAATTATCGTCTGGCAGCCAATAATTAGAAACTAAACCTGGGCCAATTTTTTTTTTTTTTGGGGGGGGGTCGATGTCTCATTCAATCATGAATAACTTTTGTTTGGCTAGTCAAATAGCAATTCACAAACGGAATCTATTTCGGGATGGGATTTGAACGAAGTGTCCAACTTTCTGCAGCATGCCACAATGACAAAGATTTTTTTTTTGATATTGATGTCAATTTGATCAGTCTGATACACCTGATCAGTATTTTCAAACGGACACTTTTTAACTTCTACACTGATTAATAAAATCATGACCTCAGAAAAAAGGTGAGTTTTTTGTACAGGTTGAGTCAAAAAAGCGGAACCCAAAACCCCCAAAATTATATTTCATATTTTAAAAAATATGTAGCACCAAACATAATAATGACTGGAAAGCTGATTTCATCAGCTACTTTTTTTTTAAAATATGAAATATAATTTCTGGGGTTTGGGTTCCGCTTTTTTGACTCATCCTGTATCACTTTGATCAAAATAGAAATTTCCTTTAAATGCTGTCCCCCAAAATGCTAGGATGTACGTTACCATTTCCATTGATGACTCGTTCGCCCTTTTTACAATCTGACGGCACTTTTGGATCACAGGCAACATTGGCAATTTTGGGATCCTAAAAGTGTAAAGAGAAAAACCATGAAAGGCTTTAATTATTCTTAGACTTCAAACTCCTTGGTGTCGGTTATAAACCCGCTAAAAAAGCAATGCTTTAACCCTTTTACTGTTTGAACAGTCGCAGACAGCCAAAAATTCCATCCACTTCCTCTGCCATGCCTTTTACACAGGCTAGTTTACAAATATTGAATGCTTCGAGTGGTGTAGTAAAACTAGCCTCCCTCGGTGATCCATGGACCATTCTATTTTCCCTCGGCGAAACTAGCCTCCCGAGGTGATCCATGGACCATTCTATTTTCCCGAGGCGAAGCCGAGGGAAAATAGAATGGTCCATGGATCACCGAGGGAGGCTAGTTTTACTTCACCACGAGATAAAGCATTCAATATTTGTTTTATAACACTTCACCAGCAGATTCTGCTTGATTTTAATATTTTACATTATTTAAATCTGAACACAGTTGAAATAAACTTCAATTTCAATACAAAATTGGTGGAAAATGTATTTCTCTCTTAAAAACTAACCCTTCACGAAATGTTTGAACCCAAGTCTGCGGCGCGCTCTCTTTGGAATAATAAGCGCTACGCACAACGCGCAAACCAGCATGCATTTGCACACAAATACCGCGCTGTGGAAATAGTACTTTGGTTGCTAATGGTATAGTACTTTGGTTGCAATGCGCATAGTACTTTTGGCCGTGCACAGAAAGATAGCAAAATTAGAAAGTAACATGTGACTCGCTCTCGGCCGATCAAGACACAGAATCTGTGGGTGAGGTGTTATAATCACCAACAGTCAGATTACATTTAAGGCAAGCACTACGACCAGTCAAATTCAGTCAACAGACAAAAGCAGGCAACTGGTAGGCACAGCTGTCTTATCAATCATGTACAGTCAAAGCATAGCTGTATCAAGTTACATAATACAGTCACAGCCAGTCAATCCTGCTTTATGTGGGCTGGGAGCACTTAACTGTTGAAAATTAGTCACCTGATTGATTTTGACTGAAAGGACAATTTGGCACAGTATGTTTGCATAGGAAGGTCAAAGCAACATTTTTTACATTTTTCAGCATGTGTGTTTGTTTGAACTATGAAGGGGTGTTGAACCCCGTCCCCCAAAACCTACAGAAGGTTGAATTATATCCAGACTGCATTCCTCTTACCTCAGGACACTGCCCTCTCTGTTGGTCGGGGGTAATGATCATGTTGGTCATGACAAAAAAGGCGTCGGATTCCTGCATGGAAAATCAAGAGTATATATCAGATTTGAACCAGCCAGCCGACCCTGGCTAGCTCAGTGGTCGAGTGGTAAGACATCTGCACTAGTAAGCAGGCGGTTGTGGGTTCGAGTCCCACCCGAGTAGAACATGATTTTTTTTCTCACAATCACTTGACACAATACCGAGTATATACAACATTTATAAAATACGTCGGTGAAGGGCAAAACCCCATATTGAATTCATCATATCCCAATGCAAATTCCATCTTATGAATAAGTTTGGTTGCGGTACCCCCTGCTAAGGTATAGGCCCTATCAGATATGAACCAGCCAGCCGACAAAAAAAAGTTCTGCTTCCGCTTTCCCTACCTACCCAAAAAAAAAATTATTGGAAAAATAAAAAAAAAAAACCACCCAAAACCATCAATTTGACCTTTTACCCTTGATTACACGCAGACGCCTCCATGGCCATATGATTAACAAATTTTGCACCAAAAAAGTTTCCCTACCTACCTACCCTGTTTTCAAATGCCATGTAATCGGAAGCAGAACTAATTTTTTTTGGCCTAAGATGTCTGCACTAGTAAACAGGAAATAGTGGGTTTAATTCCCAATTCGCTCGTACCCCCGCCCTGCAAACAGGACGCTGGTAAGGGCTGACGTTATTGGAGCTCTCATTGGATAGATTTGCGTGACCTGTGACGTAGAATGCGTCACACAAACTAGCTTCCGGTGCCCAACATGCGTAGCACGCGCTAGCTGCATGCGAAGGTCAATCTGTACTTCCTTCACAAGATTCTGTGAAGCTCATGAGCCCTTACCAGCGCCCAGTTTGCAGGGCGGGGGGTACGAGCGAAGATTCCCAACTGAGTAGTTTCCAAATATTTTCTCACAATCACTAGGGACAACACTGAGTATGTACTGTCTTCATAAAATACATGTACATCGGTGACGGGCAAAACCCTGTACTGAATAGCACGGGGTGAGTTTAAAAAAGGAAAACCCAAGTGGTGCTACCTATTTTGTAAAGAGGTTCGACATGTTGCGCATTCAAGATCTAGGATGTGAAAGCCCAAATAATAAACTTTATTTTAGCACAAGAATCATTCATATCGCCCATCAGTATCGATAGTGATCGGACCGGCAACCAGTCTGCTCACAAGGCCAATCATTTTGTAAGCAACATAAAAGGTTTTTTTCAGACGGTTGCAGTTGGGTTGGAGTAAAAAAAAAAGTTGAAAATTTATTAAGAGAAAAATCGATCACGTGTGATGCATCTTTAGTTGTGGTGGGAGAAATCAGAAATTTCAAAATCGGATTATTCTACTTATTTTCAAACCGAATAACGGTTATCTGATTTCACTGGAAGTTCCCATCCAGCTCACAGTCATGCCAACAAAAAGTGACGAGTGAGCAGTGAGGTGCCGCATAAATTGCCCTCCCAATGACTTGGTATAGTTTGCAGGATTCAACGACCACTGGGCCTTCACAAAAACACTCCACAGCTTTAATGTTGAAACAAATGGATGGGAGCTCTCTGATAAGTCGAATGGGCAGGCTATTCATATCCCAAGATAACCACTAGCAAGTGAATGCAGTTACAATCAGAGACCATGGAGCAAATTGGGGAATGTTCCAGTTATTTTCTTTAGCCTGTGTTGCACACAAAAAAGGAAGGCTTATTTTTTTTTTTACAGTTTGTTTTGAATATCCAGCTTCAAAATTGAAATAGAAGGAACTCAGAAGGAACAGTGGAACTCAAACAAATGTTTAAAAATGTGGATTTAAATACATTGTAGCTATATCATTTCTTTCTTTTTTAAATCTGGCCCCAATACCTGTGGAGGAATGACATAGTCAGAGACATCCCAGATCCTGTTGTATGGCGTTGTGTCCGTGATTAGGAGATCTGGCCAGTCAGTAATGTTTGTGTAGATCACGCCTTTCACTTTGGTAGTCACGGAGCTGATGACATCATCTGTAGACTGGTAACCTTTCTTGTATATAATAGCATATCTAAGAGAGATATTGGACAAAAAGTTCTTCATGTCATAAATTTGTTTTAAGGAAATCAAACCTTACAGGACGATTCAAGAAAAAAAGAAACCCAAATGGCGCCCCCTATTTTTAAAAAAAAAAAGTTCTTCATGTAGCACTTTTCAGATCTAGAATGTGAAAGCCTATTAATATAAGCTTAAATGTTTTAGTAAAAGAATCCTTCATATCGCTCATTTTCTTTTCCAGTTATGGACTTTCAAACACAAATACAAATTTAAAATTTTGTCCACAGATCACAGTAACAGTAAGTGATAGGCCTATTTCAGCAAAACGAAAACAATTCACATAAAAAAAAACATCGGAACACTCTCATAACCATGATAACTGGCACTTATCAAAACCTTTAGCTAAACACCTTCTGCTTCCAATGTTAAAGCAACATGCTTTATAATGTCAAGAGTTTATAGTCTTGCCCTGCCTTCTACTTGGCTATCCCAGAGACTTATGTGATTATTCTGAGATCGTTTTTCATGATGCCACATGGTTTCACTTTCATACTGAAATACCACCTACCTTAAATGTGATGCCGCGGACAAAATAGTAAAACTGTGTTTGTGTTAAAAATAACTTGAAAAGTACATGATTGATTTGAATGATTCTTTTATTAAAAGAAAGCTTATTAGGTGAAGTAAAAAAACAACATGTTTCTCGTCCCCGCCCGCTTCCTTTTTGGAGGCCGCCTGGATATTTTGAGTATGTCATTTTTGAAAAATGCAGTTAAACACCGAAAAAGTCCACCAGTTCATCGGAAAATAAATACTTGCGAAATATGTGACCAATACAACTCTAAATGACACTGTAAATATGTTCAGTTTTCTTGTCCAACTCGTCTTTCATTTTAAAAGTGTCTTTGAACAGTGGAAACACCAACGGTTGCGGGAAATTTTAAAATGGCAACCATCTTGAAAAAAATAAAAAATAAAAAATAAAAGCCCCTCTTCCTCATTTCTTATCAAACATGTTTTTTTTTTTATTCGGCCTAAATTGGGCTTTTACATCCTAGATCTGAGAAGTGCTGCATGAAGAAGTTCGTTTTTGGGGGGTTACCTTTGGTTTTCCTTCCATTTGAGGTTTTGACTTTCGAACCAAAAACTTTTGATTTTTTGACCGATAATAAGGTATTTATAAATGCTGATAATTACCCTCGCCCTCGGCTTGGGTAATTATCAGCATCCAGACTCAAACTGGTCTTAAACATAGTGTTTAACACCTCCCAAGCACACATTTATTCACTTATTAACTCTCGCCATTTTGGTCACTCAAATTACATTGTTACCATTGGCATACTACATGGAAATACACTAGTGCGCCCCACGTATGTGTCGGGGATTGTCACTTAAATTTTGCCTGATGAGGGGTGAGGATTTTGTCACTTCAAAAGTGACAATTCCCACGTCTTTGGTGGGGCAGCTGGGGGGGGGGGGGGGGGGAACAATTGATAGGCGCATTATCTTCAATTCGTTATAGGAGCGATTTTCAAGATTAAGATCAAGTTTTTTCTTTCCAGTTCTTTTCACTCACCCGATGATGTAGCCGATGATGGCCAACTGAATCAGCCTGTTCAGTAGCCCGATGGTCTTATTCTTGATGTGGACAATCTTCTGCGTGTCGTATTCCAGGGCCCAGTTGATGAGCAGCGTACCTACGCCGGGCCCGCTTTCTTCTTGGCTTGACATTGTCAGCACGGAGTTCTGGCAGATTCAATAAGTCTTCTCCTTGTAAGGCAATTTGAGAATAAACTTAGGAACTTTAGCATTCCATTTGTAATTCTTGGCTCCATTTTACTAACTAGTACAAAAGCAGTCGGTGTAGTTTCTAAAATGTGAACTTGCAAATTATTTATTTCAATTTTTTTTTTCGTTATGCAAGTAGCAGACAAGATCTTGAATTTGAATTTTTTTGGGGGGGGGACGGGACAGAACTACGCCGGCTTCTATTCATCCTATGGTCTAAAAGTGATACACATCGTTGTTTTTGTTTGTGACAATGTGTTAGATTCAGGAACACCTTTTTTTATACAAACAAACCCCAAAAATACACCTTTTTCATGAGAATCACCATTTTTTTTTAGTGCTAGGCCCACTGTTCAAAGTGTAGCCCTACAGTTGACCAAGATTTTCAAACCAATATGAAATGACAAATGTTGAACCTAACCATAGTCTAAAGAAAGTCATTCTTAGTGCTCTGACAAGTGGCCAAAATTGGCCTAGAACGGCCAAAATGCATAATGGTGCGTTACCTACATGACCTAGGCAACAGACCAGGGGCCAATTTCATAGAGCTGCTTAAGCACAAAATTTGCTTAAGCACAAAAACGTCTTGCTTAATAAAATCAGGTTACCAGCCAAAACTCCATGCGATTGTTATGCTAAGTAAACAACCGCTAAATACCAGTCACAAGCAATGTACATCGCATGGAGTTTTGGCCGGTAACCCAATTTTACTAAGCAATGTTTTTTCGTGCTTAAGCAAATTTTGTGCTTAAGCAGCTCTATGAAATTGAGCCCTGCTATGGATTTCACAAGAGCTCTCCCAAAGTCCTTTTATCCTACAAAGTTCAATAAAAAAAACAATTTTTGAACCGTGGATGTGTGGCACGTTTGACATGTTTGATGGATGTTCGCCATCGGTCAAACGCGTCGATCATTGGTCTTTTCTTTCTAATTTACAACTCTGAAGGAAATTTTTTTTAAAAAAGGTAAGTAAGGCCAAAAAAAAAAGTCTCCGGTTTCTGGTATGGAGCTTGCCCAAAAAGTGGTGCGGCGACGCGGCTTTTTTTTTTTTTTTTTACCTGTTTTTTTGTTTTGTTTTGGCTTCAAATGTCGGCTGATGACTGCAAATGGCGCCCGACTAAACTTAGTGCAAATATATGGGAGTCCAGAGAGGCCACATAAATCTTATTCTCGATCATAACCCCATCTAAAAACACGTTAAAATTGTGCAGCAGCAGAATTCCAGTCAAACCAGTGAGTTTGGCAGTTTTGAAACATCATCTTGTATTGAAAAAAAAACTTTTTCATTTTGCCGACGCGCATGGCTACAGCGACGCGCGCGCATACCAGAAACCGGAGACTTTTTGGGGGGGCCTAAACGAGATATCCTACAGAATTGACCCATTGCGCAACAGGATCGACCGATCGCGAAGTTCGACCAATTGCGCCCAACATGCACGGATACTTATTGTGAAGTATTTACACGAAATGACTCCTAACTTCGCGACACTTAATGACTCTTACAGCGACAATGTAGTGTCCTAATAGTACACCATACAATGTATGCACACAAGGTAAGCACTTTCGTGGCTTCTCTGTAAGTTCCAAGTACCTTAGGCCAAAAAAAAAAAGTCTCCAGTTTCTGGTATGCGTGCGCGTCGCCGTAGCCATGCGCATCAGCAAAATGAAAAAGTTTTTTTTCAATGAAAGATGATGTCTCAAAACCGCCAAACTCACTGGTTTGACTGGAATCCTGCTGCTGCACAATTTTAACGTGTTTTTAGATTGGGTTATGATCGAGAATAAGCTTTATGTGGCCTCTCTGGACTCCAATATATTTGCACTAAGTTTAGTCGGGCACCATTTGCAGTCATCAGCCGACATTTGAAGCAAAAAAAATCAGGTTAAAAAAAAAAAAAGCCACGTCGCTGCACCACTTTTTGGGCAAGCTCCATACCAGAAATCGGAGACTTTTTTTGTGTGGCCTTAACCACTCTTACTTAGTTAAAGTGGAAATTTGAAATATAGGGGCCTACACTAGCTGGAGTTACCCAGCCCTGAGTTTTATCATTGGGTTGTCATTTAGGGCTGGAGCTAGTTTTTCACGTAACCGAGCAGCGTAGGCAGGTCCCAAAAAAAATTGCGAAACAGGCATCGGGTGTTACGCTTCCGCGTGACGTCATGCGCCAACAGCCAGCGCAGCCGGCGAAAACGACTAGTTGACAGCCTGGTAACCGACCGCCATTCATTGTACACAATTTTTTTTGTGCACAAACCAATTGCGGTCCTGGCCATGCCTGCAAGGTTGTCAGGTTAGCGGTTATTCCTCCTTCTTTCACTGCTGCAATTGTAGGCTGAATCTTCATCGTGGATCGTTTTTTACTTCAAGGACCTGTGTAATGGTTATTCCAGGCAAGTTTTTTTGGGACCTGCCTACGCTGCTCGGTTACGTGAAAAACTAGCTCCAGCCCTAAATGACAACCCAATGATAAAACTCAGGGCTGGGTAACTCCAGCTAGGCCTACACAATGTATCTCGTAAAAACAAACTTGAAAAAATATATCTCTTAAAAAAACGAATTTAGAAAAATGTACTTCACTGTTTGAAAATGTATACTTCATGGCACTAGGCTTTCGTAATAACAGGCAGCAGTACAGTACACACTCAATATTTAAAGTTAAAATGATAAAGTTAGCAATGCTGGGCGGCGGCCGAACTGCGACTGTTGATCAAGTTCCGGGTGTTAATTTGAAACTTAAACTATTAAAGCTAATTGTTTAAGTTTTAACCGCGCCTGAGCAAGCAACCAGCACAGCAATAAATCAAGACCCCGTAAGTGACATACCTGTTATAAAATTTGCCGTCAAGTAAAGTGTTGTCCGAGACTTTGATCGTTGTTTAGCTGCAAACGCCAGTGTACTCAGAATCACGAGTTAAGTTTCGTACACACATGCGGGATATGCATGTCACGTACAGAGTACCAAGATCGTGTTGCACACACAGCAGGTGTTTCTGTTTTAGCGCCCTCAATATTTTTCAAGGGATCTGCTCATCAATCACCTTTTATACAAGCACTAGTTGCGTTATGTAACCCTGGAACACGTGGGCCATCTCGCCCCCCCCCCCTCCCAATACACCATTTTGTCTTAAAGTTTCGAAAAATAAATAAAAACATTGTGTATCTCCCTCGCAAGCCGTTAATAAGGCAATATTTCCTTTCAAAGGCAATATTTACTTTCATGTTTCCAACAACAGTGACAGTCCAAGAGTATACATTGTGCACTTTTGGCTGTACATGTAAATGCTTGATAACACAGGTAAAGAAATGCATTTTGGAAACATTATTCAAATTTTGTGGAAATTATACAAATTTAATATTTCTTATAACAATTCAATGTATAATGAGAGCATCAGTTACATTAAAACGGATTGGACTGAAAGACAATTTCTCTGAATTAAAATATTGAAGTTTCATTTTTTACATTTCTTGACCAATTCTTTTTCCATTTTGTTCATATCTGCCTATTTCAGAATGTGTACATTAATTAACAATGTTAAGAAAATTATGTTAAACATCCAACATACAAACGTTTTAAAATATATTGAGTTGAGTTAACTTTGGGAGTTGTGAAGAACTATTTAAGGCCAAAAAAAAAAAGTCTCCGGTTTCTGGTATGGAGCTTGTCCAAAAAGTGGTGCGGCGACGCGGCTTTTTTTTTTTTTAACCGACTTTTTTGCTTCAAATTTGCTTCAAATGTCGGCTGATGACTGCAAATGGTGCCCGACTAAACTTAGTGCAAATATATGGGAGTCCAGAGAGGCCACATAAAGCTTATTCTCGATCATAGCCCCATCTAAAAACATGTTGAAATTGCTCAGCAGCAGAATTCCAGTCAAACCAGTGAGTTTGGCGGTTTTGAGACATCATCTTTCATTGAAAAAAAAACTTTTTCATTTTGCCGACGCGCATGGCTACGGCGACGCGCGCGCATACCAGAAACCGGAGACTTTTTTTTTTTGGGCCTAAAGGCCACTTTTTTTTTAACGAGAAAGAGTGCTAAATAAGCTGTTGAAAACTGAACATTGGTCAAACTTACACAAGTATTTGGTGCAAAACAAATAGTAAATGTGCAAATTCATTCCCACAATCCAAATACACCATTTGCTTTTGCTGTAATTTTCAGAAATGGATGGATTTTGGGGTTAGTATTCTATAGCAAATATTGTTACACTGACCTGATTAAAGTTTTGTGTTCATAGATATTGTAACTGATTGCAAACACAATGTGGACTAAATTGGGGCAGGACCGGGCAGTATTGAAGAAAGTCATTTTTTTTCCTAACGATGGTTGGCTGACCATCGTTGGAAATTGATACAAAAATTCCGCTTTTCTTAAAAAATGACAGCACACCAGGTGCCATGATTTCACAGGATGCTTGAGACCATTATTCACTTACAGTCAAGTAAGGTATTTCATACTATTAAATTTAATAGTTTTGTTTTTTGATGTTTGCAAATGTTGTGTATTAGGCCAAAAAAAAAATACTCAGTCTCTGGTCAGCACGCGCGTCGATTTTAATCATGCGCGTCAACCTTCTTTTTTTTCTTTCAAATTAACACGGAAGCTACAACAGCCCTCTATTGCTGCGCCTCCTCAAATGTTTGTACCAAGGAGCACCAAGGAATGGGGAAATTGCACCAAGGCAAATGATTATGGCAAATTATGGAGGACACCAATGTATAATGAGGACACAAAAAAGGAAAATAGTACCCACCTTGTCTGTACAATACAAGCTTGAAAAAAAAAAAGCCACCAAAAAAAACCACCACCGCGTCGCCGCATCAATTCCGGAACTTTGGTCTGACCAGAGACCGACTATTTTTTTTTGGCCTTACCTTAAGATGTAAATTGCAACACCCTATCATTTAAAAAAGATCAAGTTGTAGGAATACACCAAGAATATGCAAATATAAACTGAATCTTAGTAGAATCTTACAATAATATAATTTATCAATTAATTTGACTGATAGGGCCAGATATTGGAATGTCATACAGGTATTTGATTATTAATGGGTGCTGGAATAAATTGAAAACTTTCACTGCAAATTAATTTTTTGTTTGCCACCAAACTAGTATTTATCTTATGATTTGATTTATTGATTCCAATATTGATGTAACTCTACGGCTAATTTTGTTTGTCATACATTACAAAAATGTAAATAAAACGACCAAATTTTCTTATCAACGAAACAAAATATGATTATCACTCTGGCCAGATGTATTGCTGAAAACTCAAGGAATAATTTTGTTATTGGTTAAAAAAAAACGACAATAACATTTAAATATCAAAGTTCTTCCTTTCGGTTCACAAATGACTTAAAAGACAAGAGAATGTTCTGTTTGACTTCAAAAAGCTTCTTCTTGGCCGCTGTCAGTTTCTCCTTGAGGAGTTTCTGGACTCGTTCGACCTCCGTCGCAGCGAAGCCCTTGCCTTTCTCCAACATCTTCTCCATCATCTTGACGTAGACATTGGCCGATTTCTTCTCTTCGTCTGTCGACAGTTTTTCCTGCCCATCTTTGGCTGCCTCCAAAACTCGCCTCTGCTCTTTTTCGTCTCCTTTCACAAACTTCTCGACCAGCTTGTCATAGTTTTCGAGACAGCCCTCTAGGCCGATCCAGAGTCCCGAGCGTTCCCTGACAAACTCCAAGATGCTGCTGCTTTTGATCTCTCCCGTGTAGTCAATGGGGTCAGTCTGGCCCTGGAGGAAGAGCTTGTAGACTGGCCTGTCGTCTTTTGCAATACCGAACCTTTCTGCTAGCTCCTTGCTTCCATTATCTGTGTAATCTGGATTTTGAATAAAAAAAGACTGACCATTACAAACTTGCACAACACAAGAGATTTTGTACATGTGATAGCGCAGACTAGTACAGGGATATAGATGGTCTCCGATTTGTTAGCAAATTTAATAAAAATTAAAAACAGGAAATTTGCAAGACTTACATAACTGAAAGAAAATATCAAAATTGAATATTTCACCCAAAAGTCCAAACTTTGAAAAGATCTAAATACAGCATCAGTTTTTTATTCTTATTCTACTAATATGCAAAAAAAAAATTGTATAAATGTACAAATTAATAGCATCATGCTGGTAAAAAAACTAACCAAAAATTAGAGTTGACATCCAAAAATAGTATGTGCCTATCAAATGTACACCCCCCTGAAAATCCAATCCACGTGTTGGCCGCAGCGGGATTCGAACCGGGTCCCAGTGGTGAAAGGTGATGAAATTACCGCTAAGGCACTACGCCAACCTGACGCCATTTAAATGATACCAGTTTGACTTTCTACCTGAAATTCCAACCTCGGCGATGATCAAATCTGGCTGGGAGCTGCCCCTTGCAACAACGACCTTGTATTCTTCCTGCTTCTCTCCATACGGATACGACTCATCAAACTTGACCAAGACAGCTTTGAAGCGACTGATGACCTGAGTAAAAAAAAGAAGACAAAAAAAGAAGGCACACTTGCGCTCCTCTGCAAATTGACCATTCTTGCTTGCTTGCTTGCATGCAAATAGGCCAGTGACTGTATCTATATCTGTATACAGTCGAGTCTCGTTAATACAAACTCGTTCGGACGTAGCCAAATTGTTTGTTATATCAGAATTTTGTATTAAGAGGAACATCAGTCCCATTCCTTGTGCACATAAATGCACAGTCGGGACGAAAGTTTTATGTTTGTTATAACCGGAATTTTCTATTAACAGAGTTTGTACTAACGAGAGTCGACTGTAGTATACAACTGTATTATAGTCGGTATAGCATCCCAGGGGAAACATCACACCAACTTAGAGAGAAGACAATGAGAAGAAATTACAATTTTAGAGGTGGGAGGAAAAGCCCAGAAGATATTCTGGGGAAAACCCACGGAATCAGGTAGGGACTGAAAACCCAATCCACATATTGACCCAGAAAGGATTCGAACCCGGGTCACAGCGGTGGAAGGCGAGGAAAGTACCACTACGGCAACCTGACTCCTCAAAAATTTCAAAATTTTTTACTTGTGCGTTACCTTTTTCCTGCAAAATGTTGCTTTTGTCAACAGTCCCGTGTTACTGTGCATTTCAACTATGAATTTTTTAATTGAAATGGCCATTGTGGAAAGAATTCCATTCCTGGACATCACCTGATACTCAGTGCACAAACCCTAGTAAAGTAGTATAAGACTGGTCTGAAACATTCTAACGTTAAGTCATTTCTCAGTATTGCTTCAATTTTTCCCTGCTAAATTTGACTTTTTACTATAGGACAGACATCGCTTTTTGATGGCTGATACTATAGCTCACTGCAGGGAAGAATTTGTGATAACCATGTATGGAATTCTTTCCTTTTGGTATTAGGCAAAATAAAAAAAAAACATGTTTAGCGTCCTGCCTCTTTGACAAAAAGGAAGGAGGAGGCCCTTTTTTTTTTTTTTTTTTTTCAAAATGGCCGCCCGACACATTTTTCAAGACAACGCGGCCGGGCCATTTTTCAAGATGGTTACCAGCTTTTTTCAAAATGGCCGCCACTTGGACTCATTGACTATTTCCACAGCTTTATACACAGTATAAAAGTCTAAAAATAAGATTTCTTTCATCAGAGATTGTTAAAATTTATCAATTTTTGTCTTTAAAAAAAAAAAAAAAAAAAAAAGGAGGCGGCCTCTAAAAGGAAGCGGGCGGGGACGCTAAACATGTTTTTTTTTTTACTTCGCCTTAAACTGGGTATATATTGAATACCCCCTATACGCACTCGCAAAAAGCCTTATGGAGGGTCGAGGATATATAAAAAGAGTTTTCCAACTCCAAACAGCGCCCTCCTATTTCATTGTGTCCACGATAGGTCTACCAGGACATACCACTTATGTTTGTAGCATGGTGTACTCATTTTATAACAGCATTACAGTGTATTATTTTCCTCCTAGCCCCACTGCGCTGTACATTAGGCCACACGTCTGGTTTCCCAATTTACTGAGGAGTTTATTCCGAAACTGGTGCATGAACTCCAGAAAGATGTCTTAATTTCTCGAAAATTTTGAAGAAAGATTACCTAATCTACCTACAATATTAACAGCTCTAATTAAAAAAATTCAAATCATCGTAGTTCAATGGGTATAGAAGCATAGCTCATTTTCTTTTCTCGTCATACGATTATTTCCTCTTAGCCTTAGGGCCTGCCAGGAAAACGTTTAATTTAACATAATTAATAATGCCGTGCAGTGTTTGTTAAGATTGCGCAAAATTCATAAATTGCGCAAGTAATAAAAAACTAATATTCCCACGCAATTTTAAGAATGAGCGCTCATTCCTCAGATTTCGTGCTCATTCTTAAGAATGCGCGCTCGTTTTGAAGAATTCGCGCTCATTCTTAAGATTGCGCAAATTGCAAGAAAGCGCACAACAGGGCTATTTTCCTCCAGTGACGTGAGTGAGTTTAAAAATCTCACACAACTTTTTTCAATAGGCCTAGGCCTACCTACCTTATCAAAAGTCAGAGAGTCCAACTGAAGCGATCCCTGTACTGGTAGAGTATTCACCCCCTCAGATAGAACTACAATTATCACAAGAAAATTGAAAATGAAGCGAAATTTGTGAGCCATTATTAGTATTTTTTAGAGATTCCGCTGGAAAGTTTCCAGAAAAGCCGCCTCGATCAGGTGCTTATCGTCTTCCACAAATTCATCACGCTGAGTATTGCAGCGTCTGGGTTTCAGACTGTACTAGCAGGCCATTTATTCAACGGCTGTTCGCTGTTGTTTTCTCAACGGCTGTTGCCTACCATACAACTATACGCACTTCTTTAAAGTTTCTTTAATTTCAAAAGCCAGATTCTTTTTTCTATTTTCATCTTGCCAAAAGCACGTTGATTGGTAAAAGTAGAATTTGAGATACCTTTTAATGCCCGACCTTCATTCTGGTTAAATTTATTGTCAATTTCTATCTAATGACTGTCGAGGCGGTCCCTGCCGGGTTCACGACCTTCGCGCAATCGCGGGCAGCAGCTTGCCAGACCACAACATTGCATTGACCATGGACTTGATATTTTGATGCCATGAATTATGTTAACAAATACCGTTTTCCCAAAGGTAATGATTTCCAGAGTTTTCGTCATTAAGAGATTGTGAATGACTGTACTTGAAGGTTTCATCATGGAGCTATAGCTCCATGGTTTCATATTGCATGGTTATGAAAACTTAGTTGCAGTGCAGTGCCAACATTTGATGATATTCCAAGCGAGTGACCGACCGCTCCTTCCACTCACTCAGTCACTGTGTATCGTACGGGGTACGTGTCACCGTCATTGACCGTTTTGACGAAGTGACGAATATGCATACTTTTGCCTGCAAAACTGAGTTTTGAGAAAATCACGTTTGAAGTTGGTCGATTTTTTCGGAAAGAATGTTGCAACCTGACGCCACTTTTTTCTTCATATCATCTCAATAAGCAGTCATTGTAAAAATGTTGATAAGACATGAATCTGGGACTGAGTCAGACTCAGAAACATTTTTTGTTAAGAATTTTCTTGATTCTCCATATCAGACATAGGGGTGCTACCTCCATAGCTTGAGTAACTCTAGCTGGAGTTACCCAGCCCTGAGTTTTATCATTGGGTTGTCTATTAGACAACCCAATGATAAAACTCAGGGCTGGGTAACTCCAGCTAGAGTAACTCCAGCTTAACAAGCTCATCAGGAATTGCTTAAGCTGGAGTTACTCAAGCTAAGGGATGCATACCTACATGTATGTTCCCCAATACCTATGTTCCCCAATTACCGATGTTCCCTGAAATGCCTAACCCTTATCCTAAGGATTTCGGGGAACATCAGTATTGGGAAACATAGGTATTGGGGAACATCGGGTAGACCCCCTCCATAGCCTTTGTACACAAACGCTGAAGTGGCGTCAGGTTGCAACATTCTTTCCAACATGTTCCAAGTTGTTCTTCACTTCATTGTCCAAACGGAAATTCTACTTTGTCACAATATACTTTAAATAGCATATGCATGTACACAGCGCGCGCGTATTTATTCATTTTACATTTTTAGAAGACAGATTCGTCACTTTGTCAAAACACAAATCGTGGAGGCTAAAACATTTTTCCAATCTAAATATAGCACACATCATATTAAAGCAATGAGACTATAAGTAATGTGACGAATAGCTTTGTCAAAAAGAAAACTGAGTGTGTCGCACTTTTATAACTTTGTGTAATTAGCATAATTAACGAAGGATGGAATTTTGTGTGTCGAAATTTGGTAATCATGTTACTGTGTAAACGATATAATGTTAGAATTTCCAAAAATCTCAGATAGCTTAAAATCTCAGATTCCGCACTTTGTCAAAACGGTGATTGTATGTGACCAGTGGCAGTTAGGGCTGTTCAAATATACCAAATATTCGAATATTCGATTATCAACCGAATATTCAAAGAGCTTTTTGTCGGTTTGACTATTCGAAAAAGAGAAAACTACTGGTATGCATTAAACTCGACTGTTGTGTCATTTAGGGCCTAATCGTAAAAGTGTGTTTCTACATCGTAAAAGTGTGTCAGATGATACTTTTTTGGCAACAGTCACTTTCTTGTCGACACAGCATTGGATTCATGCATTGAATTGATGACTACACAATTGTACAAATGTTGACGTATGCAAGTTACAATAATGTAATGAGTGGCACTTCCTATAAAATGACAAATGATGTCCAAAGCACTACAGATTTGACATCAATTTTTGATTTGTTGTATTTCTTTGTGTTTGAAAATTGTGCAGACCTGAGACACTCTTACTCACAGTGACATCACCATAATGATGAATCAACGCCAACAGATTACTCAAAGTGGATAGAGCGCACTGTCAGCGTGTCGTTCATGTCGGCAATTGTTTCGTTTATCAAGGAGAATTGTCTGCAGGATGAAGCTGTGGGTTCACCAGAAGAGCTTCTGTGGTGAGTATTGCCGTCACTGGTTTGGTAAAACCCAGACTGGGACCTCGAGTGCAGAAAAACATGCGAAACTAAATCAGGCCAGCGTTACTCACTCTTTAGCCGACAAAATTCTCCAAAATGTTCACGAGGCAAAAATTAAGTTATCACCTCCTTCTTATACCTTGTTTAACCCTACGTGTATGTATGTTCCAATTCCACTGAAAAAAAATTGAAGTTTCTGTCATCATATACCTTGATTTGTTGAGAACTTACGGGCTGTCCTGATATACTGAATATTAAAATATTCAATCATAAAAAAAAAATCAATTTTCAAATATTTGAAACTCGTTGATCAAGTTTATACATTTGCCAGCCGCAACAGCGAGCCGGCGCAGCTCGCTGTTGCGGCTGGCAAATGTATAAACTTGATCAACGAGTTTCAAATATTTAAATATTCATTCATAAATACCTCAGACAGTTTAGCCATTCCTATTGGTCGAGAGCCCGTCACGTGGCTGGTCTTAAACGGATGATAAAGACATGGCTAGCTGGTCTTAAACACTTTTCCAGTGTCACATAAAATGTGGACTCCTAAAAATCCAGTGCCTCTTACCGTTTCATTGGTTGAACGTTCACAATCCTCACGTAGGCATGCGCAACACTACCAGTGAGTCAGAATTTTATAGTTCTAAATTCAAAACGCAACGCCCGAGGTGCATTCTGCACGACATCGCGTAGAACGTGCCACGCGCGCGTCAATCTCCATAAAAGGGTTGTTTACATCTTACTCGCCAGCTGAACACTCCATTATTTTGCTAGAGGGATGTTTCAAAAAGCTGGAGTGCACTTGTTGAACAAAATCGGGATTTTTTGAAGGAATTGCTTGAATTTTTTTTACCGAAAAGGTATTTATGAATGGGAATAAATATGTGCTCGGTCGGTATTAATCACTCTGTTTAAGACTGCTTAGAGTCTGGGTGCTGATAATTACCCTCGCCTCCGGCTCGGGTAATTATCAGCACCCAGACTCTAAGCAGTCTTAAACAGAGTGATTAGAACCTCTCGAGCACACATTTATTCCCTTAGTCAAATGCAGTTTCGAATAATCAAATACTAATTTATTTGGAAATGGACAGCCCCAGAGAACTTGAGGGGATAAGATAATTTTCTGGGGAAGAAAAGAACTGAACATTGAAACAACAGAATTCACAAAATAGACTGTTTTTATTATCATTGTCGCAGTACATGAAATATAAATCATCCATTGTAAACCTTTTTCTTCAAAGACAAACCTTCTTTAGAAACATTTTATTTTTACGTTTTATGAACCAAAACTGTAAAGAGAAACAAAATAACAAACACCATACAAAAATTAAGCTTTTTTATGAAAGCTTACGTAAAAATACCAACATATAAAAGGTATGAAACAGTAAGAGTGGTTGCTGCAATATTGCATGCCAAGTTCAAAGCTTAATTCTTTTAAACTAGTCATCAAATTTAGACGTAATGTGCACATCTACTGGTATGAACAGTAAAGTCCAGTTGAAAAAAAGTCTTGTTTCAAAGCAGCTTTACTGGACCGTTTACTAATAAAGTCACATTTGTGCGTATAAACGGTTTGGCAGCAAAAAAGCGAAAGGGGTCCATTGAAAATGTACAGGGGTTCAACATTCTAGTCATATTTTCTCAAATTAATCCAGATTTGTCGCTTTTTTTCTTGAGAAAAATCTCTAATATTGTTGTAGGTACATACATGTATTATTTATCAGGCCAAAGCGTTTTTTTTGTGGTGCACAAATGGAAAGGATCCCTGCTGATTTCCTTCAACCTCGTGCACACGGGACGAAATCAATTTTTAAAGTATTTATTTTGTTCACCAAAAAAAACACTTAGGTCTGATAATAATACAGTGTACAACAATATCAGAGGCTTTTTCTCAAGAAAAAAAAACAAATCTGGGAAAATTTTAGAAAAATTTACCAGAATATTTGCACCCCTGTTCATTTTCAATGGACCGCTTTCGCTTCTTGCCCCCAGGCCCATATAATCGCATGCGCGTATAAATCTGAATTTGTTACTAACAAGGTTCATTATTAGTTGATAGCTGACACGGATACCAGTAGACTATGCTCACATAATATCCCAAGGTGTTACCCACATACCAAATTGTTATCCAAAATTCCCAATCAGTATAACGTAAAAGTCACATGCACAAAGTATAATTGAATTTACAGCAGAAAAACAAAAAATGTACATACTGTACACATGTATACAGTTCAGCAGCATTGTTGTAATTGGCACTTTGAATTTGAAAAATTTACACTGAGAGTGTATTGCATTTTTAACATGTTTAAAAAAGATTTAGTACTAAAAGTAGTAAATACTTTAACTGATTACTTTCGTTGATGCCAGAAGAAAGTCATGTACATGGGTACCTTTGCATTTAATTAAATGTCCTTATCTCAAACCAAAGTGCAGTGATATAGTAAAAAACACATGAATCATGAACATCGCTGAATCAGTGATTATTTAAACACTCAAAGATTCTGTAAATCAAGTGCAATACGGCTGCCAGTTTGTTGCTATAAAAAGTAATATAGTTACCTGTACCTGTTGATTTACAAAGCTTTTTGCCTCCTTATTTCTTTAGAGGAGGAGCTGATTCTTAACCCTAAGGAGTTCCCCGGCATCCAAGTCGGTGACATCTTAGAAATTTATCATCCTGACGAGGACAACAGGTAAAAGTGTAACTTCTGAAAATTGGAGACTTTCTTACTCATTTGTACTTTTTCTTACATTGTACATTGTATTTATTCCTTGATGAATGTACAAAACCGTACAGTGCTGGGGCAATTTTGGGCGGTTTAGGTAGTAACAGGCAGGACGGTTTGAGGCAGCAAGAAACCAATCGGTTAACTTCTTTTTCTCAGATTAATTTTTTTTTAAAAAGGAACAACATTTAGGCCTACCTGTAACTATAATAATAATAAAAAATATGTTATTAAAAAAAGTAGAAAATTTTTAGGAAAATGACGTACAAAGATGATGCACATTTAGGGCAGTGCTGTAGTGAAGTCCTCCTAAGTCATCTTAGATTGAAGTCACAAGCCACATGAAGACAATGAAATGTGACAACGGCATACATACAGGGTGAGTAAAAACAAACCGAAACCCAAATGTGGGGACCATTGTTTTAGTGAAGTTCTGCATGTAGCACTTTCAAAATCTAGGATATAAAAGCCCAATTCATAAGCTTTCTTTTTAATAGTACAAGAATCATTCAAATCACTCATGTACTTTTCAAGTTACGGAGTTTTAAACACAACATCTGTTTTAAGGTTCTGTCCGCGGATCACAAAAAGTTCAGTGTTCTTTCAGGAAAACGAAAACAATTCACATAAGGATGTGTGTGAATTGTTTTCATTTTGCTGAAAGAACGCACACATTTTTTGTGATCCGTGGACAGAACTTTAAAACGGTGGTTGGGTTTAAAACTCCCGCAACTTGAAAAGTACATGAGTGATTTGAATGATTCTTGTACTAAAAGAAAGCTTATGAATTGGGCTTTCATATCCTAGATTTTGAAAGTGCTACATGCAGAACTTCACTAAAACAATGGTCCCGATATTTGGGTTTCGTTTATTTTACTCACCCTGTACATGTCCACGTGTACCTTTGTCATTGCTTTGTAAGCTGTGACTTTACTTGTGATTTGTGGGATTTGCCTTTAGTTATGGCCCTGACTGCAATTCTGCAGGTTAATCAGTAGCAGGCTTTCAAGTATTCCTACTTTTCCTACATTTCCGTAGTTTTTTGTTGTTTTACGTTGCTCCTACGATTTCCCATGGCAGGTGTGAAACACGCTGTGGGCTTGAGCTGCTTATGGTGGTTGGTTGGTGGGTGGGAGGGTGGTTTGGCTGGTGGACAGTTTGCTCGGCCATATATTGTATTCATGCAACTGGAGTATTACAGCTTTGCTTCCGAATGCCAATTATGATAACACTGATGTGCATGCGTCTAATTTGCATATTTTTGCATATTAGATCACGCCCCAATCGTTTTCGTTTTCTGTACTCTTGAGGTACCTGTACGGCCCGGGTGCGCGCACGGATGGTGCTGTAAGCCGTCTTCACACGTTACCCGGCCACCGTGGGTTGTACCACTTGGTACTTGTTTTCTAGAAATTCCTACTTTTTGGTCCCACAACTCTGGCAAAATTGAAACGCCATTGAATGTTTTTCATAACAGTGTTACACACTGTCCAGGTGCGGTTCTATGGGGGGGCTAGGGGGGGCTGTAGCCCCCCCCCCCAAAAAAATTTTTGTCTAGCCCCCCCAAAAAATAAATTCCGTAAATAAAAATTGCATTAGCAAAAAGAAGGATTGTGATGTACATGCGAACGGTCTCCCCCTAAAGAAATAGTCGTGACAAGGGTGCATTAGTTAATATAGTGTGAATGATTTTAGGATGTTATTGGCGCTCCCCATTGAAAATATGGCATGAGCCCCCCCCCCCCCCCCCCCCCCCCCCCCCCCCCCCCCCCCCCCTCCTCCTATTGATTTTCGGAGGCCTAAGTGTCTGGAAAAAATAACCGGTCTACATTTCAGCACGCCTTCCTGAAAAAAATTCTGGATCCACCGTGCTAGCCCCCCAAAAATATTGGGTCTAGAAACGCGCCTGACACTGTCATGTAAATCACACAATGAAGGGCTTAGGCACAGGAGTACTGCAACTGTACTTCCAAGAGCTTAGTTGAGGATGGAGCACAAGTGTTGTGAGTACAGAACATGCCAAATGAGGCTTATGATGCTGTGGACATGGGCGAGTATCGACAAAAACTACTCCTGAAATCCTGCAAAAGTCCTACTTTTATCCTTTTTTTTGTACAGCAAAGTCCTACTTTTATCCTGTTTTTAAGAATATTTTGATCATTCTGTTCTACTTATTATTTTCACCTGGGTCTGCTTGAAAGCCTGCAGCTGTTTCCACATTGAAATATCATCTCAAAAGTTATCTCAGCTGCTTACTTCTGTAAAGTTGAAAAAGTTTTACAAATAATAGTGCCATGGTATCAGCAATGGGCTCCCTCGGCTTTGCCTAAGGCTCCATTTGCCAACCCCCCTCGAGTGTACAAAACTCTGTTGTACAAAACACATCACAGCATAAATTTACATAGTGAACCCGTCACTAACAAGTGTGTACTATGAAAAAGGCAGTCATCTGACTGTTGGTCACTCCCATGTAGTTCATGGCCATGTTCTGTAACACTCATGAATATGTGACTACATGTCACGCCAACTACATGTACATTGTAAAACGAGAGCATGGTGGCTTTAGTGTGACAAGGTGACTTGTTTATTTTACAAACTTGGCTGCCTGTGTCCTCTTTTTGATGGTGCCTCTGACGTCCACTAGCTTCTGGTTCATAGTCTGGGTGATCTGGTAAGGCTGGATGTCTGGGAACTGGCCGCTGACGAATGCTAACAATGGAAAAGGGGAAAACAAAACAAAATTGCTGCTTAGTTAGGGTCCATGCAATGAATGTGTCTCAGGAACATATTCTGTGCAACTATTTGACATCCATTTGTGAGAAATTTTATTGAAAAGTGCACTTCTTGAAACATGCACAATTTTCCATGCTTTTCTCTGCACAACTGAGGCAGCTGTTGCTGTGATGTCATTTCAGGAAGACACTGTTCAGTTCAGGGGTTTTGTGCTTAAATTGTGAACTCAAACATTTGCTCATTGAAAACATTTGTGAGAAAAGTTTGCTCATTGGCTTACTGTCAAGTCATGTACACGTTACAAAACAACGAATCACCAAAGAAAGGAAAATTTACAACAGCAAAATATCAAAAATTCTGGCAACTTGTGGTGCTGAAATAACTGTAACATTGAGGTTTCTGCCTGAAATGACGTCACAGTTTTGCTCATGAATATGGAAATTTTCATTAGCATAAAAACCAAAAAGGTACCAAAATACCCCTGAAAATGGCAAAACAAAAATCCGAAATAAGGTTAAATGGGATACAAAGGTGCATATTCAAGGATTCCAATAAAAATATTACATTGCATGGGCCCTGTAAGGCTTTCTCACTGAAACAGATATTGACACATAGACTAATCAATTCATTAAAAGCCATTGGTGCTGTGGCACCATGCTGGAGCACATGTTTCCCAGGCACACTTAATACTCTTTGGACCAAAATGCAATTGGTGCACCAATGAAATACTACCTTAGTAATGGCTAACGATTGCGGTTGTTAAATTATTAGTCCATAGGGAATGGAGTGACTGAGGGAGGGCATCAAAGCAGGACTAATAGTGTGTAGAAGGCGTGCCTTAAATTAATGTCTAAACTCAAGACATCAAACTAGAATGCGCTATTGCCAAACCAGTCACATGTATGCATGACAACTGTGTATTAAAATTACTGTTATTCCTTGAAATCATTTCATTTTTATTAATTAAGGGAATAAAATATGTGCTTGGCCAGTTTTAAGCAAGTTCCTTTTAAAACTGGCTAGGGGCCTGAACCCTGATTTTCAGCTCTGGCCATTATCCACGACCAGGCCCCCAGCTGGTTTTAAACGTGCTTGTTTAGTACTGGCCAAGAATATACTTACTCCCATTCATATACCTTTTTGTAAAAAACCCGAAAGTCAAAAATTCACAATTTTCAAACGATTTTGTTTAATAATTTTACCTCATAATTTGTGAACACCCCTCTTGTTATTTCGATGATACATGTATGTGCCTCGTGCGCGTAGCACTTAACATCTCCTTTTATGGCAACTGGCACGTGCACAGCGCGCACTCTGTACATAGTTCTCCCCAATGTGAAAAATAATAGTTTCCTGTAGCAGTGAGTTTGTCTTACATTCACTATGTGGACTTGTGAACAAAAGATGTCCACATAATGCAGGTTGTGTTGACGTTATGTGGACTAAGCCGTGTCCACATAACGTTTCGCCCTCTCTCGAAAACAGGTTTAGAGGCATTTTTGGGTTAGGTTTAGCCGTGGCAAAATGAAGAGAAACACTAAAGGGAATCATAGAAAATAATTGGGTTGAAAGAGTTTTCACAGTTAAAGTAAAGCTATCTTTTGTACTGAATTTTCTTAACTACACGAAAACAAAGGAATGTCCACATAGCGTATGTAAAACAAACATGGGTGTGTTGTCATGAGTGTTTTGGGAATTGGATAACACATTGCCACAAATGTTGGGTACCTGCATACAATGTAACTGCAGTGTATGGTGTACATAAGTTCTCGTATGAGACCCATACTCACTGATGATCGCTTGCACTTTGGCCTGGTCCAGCGCCGGCCTGGCTGGGGAGTTCAGGGACCCCTTGCCCGTGGCTCTCTCCCCTCGGACGCAGCTGCTCTCCATCTCCTGTGTGTTGAAGACCATGGGCATCAGGCTACGGGTCAGTAAGGTGTAGCTCCAGCCCTTCTTGAAGGCAATGGAACTCAGCCTGTTGGAGTCGACATAGATGCCACTGGAAGGGACCAGTTCTACCTGGGTGGCGGGGCAGGCAGCCGTGTTCTGTTAGAGAAAATAGAAAAGCCAAAATAAAAGAAAGAACAAACAAATAAACACAAAAACTAAAGAAAACAAAACAAACCTAAAAACTTAAAGGCATATAGTATCAGTTGCATTTATCCCAAAAGTAACCTACATGTACCAAATTATTATCAAAAAGCTTACTAATTGGATTAAATATCGTATTGGTACTACATGTAAACACCTTGTGAAATTATTCCATCTGGCGTGCTGTCATTTCGAAGAAATCAAGAAATGTAGGTGATTTCCAATGATCAGTCCATTCATGCATTGATGTCTGATTTATGGAATTTGGAATTAAGAGTGCCATTGACGAAATTGTGTTTTTTGATCTAAATGTTGTGCATTTTTTTTTCACTGTTTTCTCGAAAACTGTAATATCCACCGAGCTGAAACTTCAACGGGTTAGGTTCGAACAATCTTCTTTGGATTTTGAGTGGTTTTATTATTGGCAAGGAACACAATGCATGAAAAGAAATTGACACCGCCTTTCACAGCCGATTTCAATATTGAATTTTGCCACTTTATATTCAGTGCTGTCTGAGGGCTTGTGACAAAGAAATCACAAGCTTATGCTTGGGTGGGATTCGAACCCACAACCTCCCACTTACAAGTACAGCTGGTGTTTTGCCACTCCCCCACCGGTTTGCCAGGGTGCAGCAACTTATCACTACATGTACACGTATTTTGATGGAATTTTGCATCAACAAAATTTGTGTATAAATAAGCACGCATACTGAAATTTGTATCCTTGTGGAGAACTTAAGTTTTCGAGTTTGAAAGTACAGTTTCAAAATGCTCTTATTTTAACCAGAATTAATTTCCTTGGCTGAAATTCGGACTTACATGTAATATCCCTTTTCTAAAACTCTACCATTTGCGACAGATCAACATACCTTGGAAATTCTTAGTTTTTCGAGTAAAATCCATATACGTAATTCGTGAAAGCCTTGTGGAGACGTATTCAGATAGAAATTGCCCTGTGGAGACAATCTTTTGTTCCCTACTGTGTGCATGTCTCCAGAGGGCACGGTGTATCAGATCACGGGATTTGTATCATAAACATGTACTTGACGATTTTAATTTTCAACATGTGTGTTTTCATGTTAGTTTTGAATATCCCACCCTTTTATCACTCCTCAAAAACGAATATCCTTTTAGATTCTTTATGTACCATTTTAAGTGTGACCCTGTGTTGCCATCAACTGTAAACCAAAGCCATTGTGGACACCAGTCTGCCAGTAGTAGGAGGGTTTTTGTAATAGACTCAGTCTGAAAACACATTAAAACTAACCCTGGGAAAACGTTGAAAGTCTTGTCGAGCCCTGCCACTATTTGCTTGGTACAAGGTGCTTGGGTTTGGGTTGGGATGTTGTGATTGGGGCTGGGGCTGCAGCTGTGGCTGCGGCTGTGGCTGCACTGCTGTCTGATACAGTCTCGGTTTTGTAGCCAGTGACTGGGAAGGAATGGCTCTCTGGAACTCTGTCAAAACAAAGGAAAGGATGGTGGGGTCAAACAGTTCGTTATCCAACAGAATCAATTGTTTGATTTTGTTTGGATTTGTGAGAGTTAGTGCTAATCACGGTGTACTCAGGTGTAGCTACATGTTCCACATTAACCCTAGGCCAAACCCCTAGGCCTTTTTGCTAGGATGCATCCTCAATCCTGCAAAATCCTCCAACTGCCACCATGTTAAAACTGGATACAGCTTCAATCCTCCAAAATCATCGGTTATTTCTTGATTTCTTTCCTTGGAAGGGTGGATACTGCCTCAATCCTTTCATGAGCCTCCAACAATCGCAGTGTCAGTACATTTGGCAGTTTTAGACCAATGACATAACAGTTCCCAAGACACAATACAAGAAGTACTTTTCTACCAAACATGCAACCACTACACAGGAGACAATTTTGAAGGAATTAATCAGTTGATGCAGTTTTTTTCATGGAGTGGGTTTAGGTTTGAAATGAAAGTCCTTTTTTAATGACAATTTCTTACCTGTTACTTCTTCCTCCTCTTCTTCACTGCTCGAGTATATCTGTTGAAACTCCGGTTCTGTTTGCCATGGCGACTCGTAACTATGACTACATGGGCAGGCCTCCCTTGGGGACTTGGGTGTCGGCACCCCAAAGCTTTGCAGGGTCATTCTCAATGTTTTCTCCAATTCTCTCAAATCTGAGTAAAAGAAGAATGTAAAAAAAAACTCTTATAATGTTAGCATTGTCAGTCAGAGGGGGATTCCGAGTGGGGCAGTAATTAAAAAAAATAAAAAATACTAGCAAATATGCAAACAAAACAAAGAAAAACTTGTTAAAATGCTGTACAAAATTGTTTATAACATCTGAACAAAGAATTTTTTAAAAGCCTACAAAGATGCAAATTTTGCAAATTATAAAAAGAAAGGATTCAGTAATGGAATTGCACTTTAAAGGTTCAAAAAATTACATTAAATTGTTCCTCTCTTTCCCCAAAAATGATGGAACAGAATGATCTTTTTAAAAAGTTCAAAGGCTTTGTTTTAAATTATATCCATGCCCTTTTGCCTGCCAATGCCTTTTTCACAACAATAGAGGGCACTCCAGCTGTTTTCATCAGTAGGCATGGTAGGGAATGTACATGTAGCTTGACTTACTGAGAAGTTCTGCTAGTCTGGCCCTCAGCTCCCTGTTCTCTTGCTTGTATTGCTCCAGCTCTGCTCGGAGCTGGACCATGGCGTTGGACTCCCTCTGGGCCAGAGTTTCCCCGCCCCTGCTGCTGACAAAGTTCCTTGATGCAGGAGAATGGTCCCCGGCGAATCCCTGGTAGTCCAGAGAATTTGATGAGTCCGCTGAACTCAGGAGTTCCTCGATGCTTGGGTATCGTCGTGCCGGGAGAGTGTGTCCATTGGTGTTGCGGTTGGTCATCTTCCGTGTCTGGGAAGTGAACTTGCGTCGCTTTGCTCCCGCTCTGGTGACAATTAGCCCACGGTTCTGTGGAAGAAGTATCAAACAATGAAGAATTATCAGAGGGGGCAATGTATTTTTCTCTTTTCATAAAGGGATTGCTTGTGCAATGAAATCAAGCCTCGAATTCAACTCTTTTTTTTCCCACTTACCCAGCACTTACTCACTTCCAGATTTTAACTAAGCCTTTTTCAAATCTGATTTTCCAGATTTTTATCATCAGTCAGACAATGATTAGATTGTAGCATACATTTTCCCCACTATACATGAACTACATGCACGTGTAAAATCGTAGTACACACTTGTCCTGACTACAACCAAATGAAAACAGAAAATATTTTTTGCATGTCGTGGTGACAAATTGTGTTTACAAATTTGTACTTATTTTGCAATACCGACGTAATTTGCATTCTTTTTTCTCCATATTGTTTGAAGTGTATCAGTAATTGTCATTTTTTTAGTGAATAAAAAATGTAAAGTATATTCTAGAACCCTTAAAAATAAAAGGTTCCTAATGATCAAAAGAATTCTTTCCCCCAAACTTTGTCAGTAAATAACCCACATCATTGTACCAATTCTAACTCTAAAGTTGGGAGAATGGGTTTAAAGAAACAAGTTGTACATTTGGTCAGAGGAAAAAAAGTCTTGAATATCACAAATGTGCAAACTTTGATGCACAGGCAGCTTTAGTTTAGGAGGACAGTACTTTAAAAAAAAAGTTATAGAAGTTGGATGAAGTAAATTCCACTTTGAAACTCATTTTTTTTTTTTAAGGGTGTTTCTTTTTTGTGTGCCTTAAAATTAGATTTTAAGTTTTAATCACCTTTTAAGTTCAACATAAAGCTTTTCAAAAACTGCATTACATGTATTTTAAATATGGTTGTACGCATCAATGCCAATTAGATTTGATACACACAATGAGGGTTTTACACAGATCCTTTCTGTCCATGCACACACAAAGCAACTATCATTTGGCAAAACGAAACAACATTTTATTCCCAGTTTACATGAAGCACATTATCATTATCGCTGGGCGAGTTACTTGAGTACTCGCGAGTGGTTTATGCTACTCGTTCTACTCGTGGTTTTTCATCTATTTGAGTACTCGTCCTGGCGCGAGTAGAAGCAGCTACTCGTGAGTAGCAATTTAGGGTTTAGGGTTCAATGCTTAATACGTCCCCTGCAAACAGGGAATTACTCCCTCCACCTCTCTCTCCCTAGGATTCCATTCGTCAAAAAAAATTAATCAAGTAAATGACCCAAGACGTGGCATAGTAAGGATACCTCAGTGCTGTAGATTGCGGTGTGACTTGCACGCTATTTGCTTGTAGGTTACTTTACGTCATACTTACAAATAAGTCATTTTTCAGTTTTTATGGGAATTCGGTTAACTACTTGCGAATTTCTTTGCGAGTTCTCGAGTAGAAAAAAATCCACTACTCGCCTAATTGACATGATGAAACACGTGCGTTGCCTGCTGCCCAAAAGTAAGTTGGATTTTAAAGACCAAAACACCCCCAAAATATCACCAATTGAAAATGTCATCTTAGTCAAGAATATTTTGGTTTAAGTAAGTCCACTGTTAGCCGTAGTAGTTGGCCGTGACAATTTTTAACCGCGCGCAGCAAAGACAAAAGGCAACACGCAATCATTAGTTAAAGCCCCACTGCACTGCCAACATCATGGTGACAAGTTTCCGTAATCCTGATCAAGATACAGAATATAATGAACGAACATCCACCATTTCATCAAAACAAAATTCACACATTTACTTGTACGTCACAAAGAGTTACAAAATGTTTGAATTGTCAAAAGGGGGGAAAAAACCAATCATGTGGTTGATTTCAGCCTGTGTCAGGTTGGTGAGCTGGACTCCCAACCACTGATTAAAAAAAGGGACTTTGTTTATTACTTTTTCATTTATTAAATCATTTTGCATAAATTTTAGTAATGCCTGGTGCCATTTAAGATAATGGCTGTATTATATTCACAAATAAAATGGAAACTGCGAAAACCAAAGGGGTAGCATTCATTTGTTTGACTCCCTGCAAAAACTGGCATCTATTTTTTTGTGTAAAAATGTAGCCATCCTGAAAACAGAATGTTTTGTTTGATAGTTTTTGCAATGCACACACAAAACAAAAATTATCAACCAGCTTGAAACTGCCGTCACAGGCCCAGTTGCCTGAGGACCAGAATGCATATTCCAGAAGTTACTGTTTCAAAATCTGTTTCAATTGATTTTATGCATGAGAAAGAAAATGTGCAAACATTTGTTACATCCTTTGAAAACCTGTTTAAGCATGGAAAAAAGTTATTGGAATTTAAGCCAGAACAAACAAAGTGGCTCCTCCATGGACCTTTAAAGGTAATATACAACATTTGCTTTTGCTGTAATTTCCAGAAATAGTTTGATTTGGGGTTCAGTATTTTATAATAAGTTTTGATACACTAACCTGTTTAAAGTTTTGTGTTCATGGATATTAGAAAAAGAAATGCTGTTTTCGCAGTCTGGTTCCCTGACCCTACTTCAGACGAAACTGAGCAATTTATATACAATGTTCCTCAGGGAATTGTCAGGTCAGGGAACCAGACTAGCTGGCTTGTACCTGTTCACAGATGTGTAAGCGATTGCAAACAGAATGTGGACTAACTAAATTTGGTTAAAGTTGTTTTTGAAAAAAAGGCATTTTTTTCCAATGATGGTCGGCCGACTATCATTGGAAATTGATACAAAAATTCCACTTTTCTTCAAAATGATAGCACACCAGGTGCCATGATTTCACAGGATACTTGAGACTATTACTCACTTTCAAATGGTCAAGCAAGGTATCATATAATTTGGTAGTTTTGTTTTTTTGATGTTTGCAAATGTTGTATATTGCCTTTGTTGGTCTGTACCTGTGTTGTTTTGCCATTGGCCGTTTCCAGTGCCTCCTGTTTCATTTGTGTATCCGCCATGTTTGAAGGGTTCGTCTGTTAACTTTTAGTCAACGTAAATCTGTGGAGAAATGGAAAAAAATATGGTTTTAACAAAAACCTTAAATTGAAGCTACATGTGTTCTCCTATTGTAATTTGAAACAAATAAATAATTAATTAAATCCAGAACTTATCGAAGATTATAGGCTTTTAAAGTACATTATTAATACATTTTTTTCACTCTCTTTTCCCTTGGTGGGGGTTTGAGGTATAGGTTGGGTGCATTTGTATAGATTGCACGTAAATAAATTCTGTAGAAAATATAAGTGTTATTTCTAATCTTAAAATGTAACTGCAAACATAACAATCATGTTGATGCCCCTGTTGCACCCCCCCCCCCTCGGCTCCCCTTCTCACCCCACCGAAAAAAAATACCAGTGTTGGGTGGTAGTGTAAAACTAGTAACTGCCAACATGGGCATGGTTGATCGAAAGAAAGTTTTATTGAGTTTGAGTAATATAAAGTGAGGCCCAACCATAAAGTGAGGCCCAGCCATAACTGAAAAAGAAGGCCAAATTCATAGAGTAAATCCATAACAGTCTGCATTAAAGTGAGCAAAAATGCTTGGTGCGATTCTGAACAATATGTACCTGAATTACCTGCAGATGTATACTCACTTTTTTAAAAGAGAGGTACAGCGCCAGTCGGTTTTAAAAAAAAAATCCTTCAAACTGCATACCAGTAAAATCTTTAACAATAACTTTGTACCCTAAAAGTTACTCACAGTTGATCCATATACAGTGAGTCAAAAAAGCGAAACCCAAATGTCGGGACTACTGTGTTAGTGAAGTTGTGCATACACTTTGAAAATCTAGGATATGAAAGCCCAATTCATAAGCTTTCTGTCGTACAAGAACCATTCAAATCACTCATGTACTTTTCAAGTTCTGTCCACGGATCACACAAAAGTGTGCGTTCTTTCAGAAAAACGAAAACAGTTCACACACACATCCCTATGCGATTTGTTTTTGTTTTGCTGAAAGAACACTAATACCTTCTTGTGATCCGTGGACAGAACTTTAAAACAGTGGTTGTGTACGTGTATATTTAGAATTCTGTAACTTGAAAGGTATATGAGTGATTTGAATGATTCTTGTACTAAAAGAAAGCCTATATGGGCTTTCGTATCCTAGATTTTGCAAGGGCTAAAACAATAGTCCCGACATTTTGGTTTTGCTTTTTTTGACTCACCCTGTATAGCTTGAGAACTTCCTTCAAAAACCCAAAGTGCCATGTAGGCCCCAAAGTGGGAGTGCACACAGTACACCAGTGAAAAAAGGCCCACGGAACCCCCCAAATTGGGGCCAACCCTATACAAAACATGTACATGAAGCTGACCCTAATTTGAAAAAAGCAACCCTTTCATTCTCTTTAGTTACTGAAGGTAGCCATGTCATAGGATGATTTTCAGTGGGCCATCATTAAAATATATATACAGGATTAAAATACATTGAGAAAGAATAATTAACAGGGGGGGGAGCACTTAAAAATCCAGACAAAATGTAAGTTGCAATTATAAATTTAAAACAAATATAAAAAGCTACATTACAATTACCAGATTGACTTAAATGTACACCATATTGACTCAAATGTACACCAGATTGACTCGAATGTACTGATAATACAGTGGTCAATGGTCATGGTGGGGTGAACACATTTTGACTGCTTGTGCTTAAGTAAAAGGTACAGACAGCTCAGGTATGAAAGTCAGATTATATGTGGATGAGTTCTTTTTGGTCAAATAACTTTTAAAACAGCATCCCACCACAAGACCCTGCATTCCTAGTCCAACAGTACCCCCTAATTTACAGATACTTACAGTTGTTCAGAAAGCTGAGAGGGTTATGCATATGCAGAGAGTTTTGAAGTTCTGCACCACCAAAATGGTATGCAGCTATGATATAGCCCCATATAGGTGTGTGCATGAATGCATATGGTTGTTGTGGTGGTTTTTGTACAGAGTGCATAGTGCATATTATGTAGCTATCCTATAAAGAGCATATACCCATTCATATAGACCCGTCTGTATGTGGTAACAATGTACGTGAACCCATTCATGTGTGATATGTGCTGTGCAGACAGGCAGGGCACTATCATGATGACTGCATGTGTACGTAATTGTATATGCTCATTTCCATATAAAATGATAATGCGCCAGACTTTGATCATGTATTTACACATGTACGCGCATGAAGTGGCTTTGAACTCCGTTTTGAAGGTCACCTTTGCCCTATCATAGTTCATGCAAGAAGTACACAATTACAGTATCTATAGCAAGGTTATGAAACAGTAATATAAATGCAACATGTCTATTAATGTGTGCAAAACTCAACGCCTAGACTATATACACATTATACTGTACATACTTGTATTTTCAGTTTTTGGGGTAAATGTTTGAATACAATGTGGTTTTTTTTTTCCAGTGATATTTTTCCTTTTGTAAAAAAAAGTTTTTCTTCCTTTTACTTTCCAATTGTTCTTCAATATCCTCTGTCACACTCTCGCACTATTACCAGTATTACAATCATCAATTCTTTTTTAATTTCAATTTCATTTTTGAGTTTTTCTTCTCAAATTGCCTCAATGCCTCAACTGCATTATCCCTCCTTACATGTAGTTTTGACCACTTGCCAAATTGTCCCTGCCTAGAATTGAAAACCTTTAAAAAAGTATCAAGGGTTGAGAACAATTTGGCTCATATGTTGAGATTGTCGTGTTGCATGAGACGAGCATCATTTTGTACACTGCTCCATTTTTTGGAAACATCAATCTGACCTTATGTAGAGTAGCTGTACTGGTTCCCAGTATTGTACAAATCAACCGTACCGTGACAGTTATTGTGAACAAAAAGTTGGCACAGCGCTTCAACCATTGTGACTATGTACATCATCAGTTCAGTGTTACTTACCAACCATGACCCCCCCCCCAACCCCCCCCCCCCAACCCATGGGCGTCAATCCTGGGGGGGGGGTCCCCCCCCCCTCCACTTTTTGAAGGGTGGGGGACACAATATCAAATGTCCCCCCCCCCAGATTTTTGAACTCGTGCCTCATTTACAGGGCCCTATTATGTACTACAATGTATCTTTTGCTAAGAAAATATTGGTTAAGGTGGTCAGAAATTGCCTCAGATATTTCCCTCAGACCCCGAACCCCACGCCTTTAGCTTAGAATATAATAGCTTATTCAATGACTTCAACCTCGAAAATGGTGTTCAAATTAGTATCTTTTGCTTGGAAAATATTGGTTAAAGTGATCAGAAATTGCCTCAGATCGCACCACAGAGCATCTAGAATCAATTTTTTCGGGGCCCTTAAGCGGGCCCCGAACCCCACGCCTTTAGCGGAGAATATAATAGCTTATTCAATGACTTCAACCTCGAAAATGATGTTTAAATCATTATCTTTTGCTTGGAAAATATTGGTTAAAGTGGTCAGAAATTGCCTCAGATCACACCACATGAGCATCTAGAATCCGAATTTTTTCGGGGCCCTTAAGCGGTATACTGCTACAGTTGTGCCATAGTGCCATTGTGGGATAGTAACTTGCCCCCTGAAAGTACTCTGATTAGATCCTGCAAAAAGAAGTTATGTAAATGTATGTTATATCTTGGTGGCTTTAATTTCAACTTGTTTACTTGGGGTGTACATATTTTGATTAAAACTGTGAATATTATTATTAAGTCAATTTCACTCACAGGAATATGCCTTTTCCATCTTGCTTATTATCATTATAGTAATAGTGCAGGTTGGATTGTGTGATCATCACTTTGCAACTTTGAAAAAGATTTGCTTTCTGATACAGTTGCCTCAAAGAATTGCTTCAGTTTGTGCCCTAGATACCACATTTAATAAAATAACCGCTGACATTTCCAGTATTGGCCAGACTTTTCCAAACCTTATTAGAATATCTAAGATTTGTTGGAATATGTGCAAATATTCCAACACCATGGTAAAGAGAGCAGCTACTGCTCGACACAATGGGGCTAAGGTTACCAAAGTTACTTTTAACTTACCAAAGGTTACCAAACTTACTTTTAACTTACCCATTTTCAAATTACTAACAACTTTCTCGATAATTATACATTTTAACCAAGCCTCGAATTTAATTTTTGTTACCCACTTACCCAGTATTTACCCACTCCCAGATTTTAACTTACCCATTTTCAAATCTGACTTACCAGATCATCAGATCAAATGATGATTAGATTGTTGCATAAATTTGCCCCACTAAGCATGATTACAAAATCACTTGTCCCGACTACCATCTGAAATCAAAACAGAAAATATTTTTGCATGTTGTGGTGACAAAGTATGTTTGCAAATATGTATTACTTTGAAATACCAATATAATTTGCATTCATTGCTCTCACGAAACAAATATTGTTGGAAGTGCATCAGTAATTGTCATTTTTTAATGAATAAAAAAAGTCGTCTTGAATATCACAGATGTTCACATTTTGATGAATAGGCAGCTTTAATTTAGGGGACAGTATTTTTAAAATCTTGTAAAAGTTGTAGGAGCTGAATGGCATTAAAACCCATGTTAAGACTAATTTTTTTAAGAGTGTCAAGTAGTTACCAGCAGGAAAAGTAACTTTATATTTTTAGTTCGCTCAAATACAGTGGCGTAGCCACGGGGGGGCGACAACCCCCCCATGAAACCTTGTCGCCCCCCAGTGGCCCCCCCCCCCCCCCCCCACTGAGATTTTGAGTTTTTTTAAAATTATCATTGATCCACATGGCGCCCGGCCCCCCCCCCATGAAATGTTGCAGCCCCCCAGCGCCCCCCCCCCCCCCCCCCCCCCCCCCCCCCCACTGAAAAATTCCTGGCTACGCCACTGCTCAAATACCATATTGAATATCACTTTATCAGCAGGCTTAATTTTGTATATAAAGAGGACAGGGTTTTTATTTTTGAGGAAAATTTTGGGGTAACATGATGACAGCGCCTGAACTGCTGTGACTCGTTCTAGTATAAAAGTGCTAAATCAGATAAAAAAAAATTAAAAAACTAGACTTAATCTATTTAAAAAGGTCTGCTTTGGCCTGAAAACATAATTTTGGAAAATTTGACAGTCATTTACAAAAATCATTTTTGAACTGAACAAGTAATAAAAAAGGGAGGTGTCCTAAACCATTGCCATATTTTTTTTACATGATGAAACATGCACAATGCGTGCTGCCCAATTGAAGAAATTTGGATTTTAAAAGACCAAAAACAACAAAATATATCACCAATTGCAAATCGCATGGGTCAGTCAAGATTATTTTGGCCACTGTAATATAAAGTGTAATCACTCTTGGCTATGACAATTTTTAAGACGAAAGGCAACACGCAGTCATTAACCATGTGCCAACAGTCACCATACATGCCATATGCATGGTGGAAATTTCCTTAATCCTGATCAAGGTACAGATTATAATGGCCAAAACATCTACCATTTCAACAAAACAATATTCACACATTTACTTGTATGTCTCAAAAAGTTACAAAATATCTTAAATGTCATAAAAAGAGCGATAGAAACTAGACCTTACTTTTCGTTTCACAGCTAACTTTACAATCACAACGTTCTGAACAAGGTGGTACTTATTTAGAACGTGTAGTTCATGACAAAATTCCTGTCATGCTCTAGTGCATTACTACACAGATTTTTTCGACATCACCTACACGAAGTGATGGCTAAGAAGGGGTTGCTCCATTATGTTTTGTAGGGGGTTTAAAAGATTAAAAACGTAATTAAGGGAGAAAATATTATGATTTTGTTTTGTAGTAAACATTGTTCATGTATTTAAATTTTGCTTTTATTTACAAAACAATCCTAAATGTGCTATTTCTCAAATCCAAGTTAAAGAAAACTGTGCAACATTACTGTTCAGAATTGACTTACCAAGCAACTTACCCATTTTTGTAAATCACTTACCTCCCCAAAAACCACTTACTAGCGGTAAGTGGGTAAGCGTGCATTAAAGGGGCACTAGGTCCTGAAATCTCCGAAAATGTTATGTTTTGGAATGTTTACTTAGCCTATTTCAAACATCTGGTTGAAAGGAAACCCACCTAATGTCTTACTGTTCCAGGACCTAGTGTCCCTTTAAGCCGGCCTCAGGTCGACCTGCGATTTGCTTGCGCCACGACGGAACCGTCGCCAGCATGCAGCAAGCAGAAAAATATTAATGCTCAGGTCACAAAACTGAGAAATCGTGTGATTTGCTTGAAACAGGCGGCATCCCGACGCAAAATAATCTCAACCATGCTCATGTCACCCAAGACGCGACGATCCACCATGATTCCACATAGACAGTCATGTGGCTTCTTTGACAATAAGGGAATAATTATGTGCTTGGTCGGTTCGGCTCGAGTCAGCACGCGTTCCCCTGATCCGGTCTTAAATGTACTTGTATTCACATTCACAAATACAACAAATACACAAAGTCAACCCGAGTCAAAATTATACATTTCCAAAGATTTTGTTGAACAGTTTTACTTCATTGCTTTTTTTAAACACCCCTCTAGCCATGGTATGGAATATCCTCTCGCGAGTAGTAGTAAACAATCTCCTTATATGGTGATTGACGCGTGTGTGGTGCGTGATGTTGCACGGAACGCGGAGCGCTGGTGTGTAGTGTGCTGATTGGCTACCAGTGTTGTAGGTCTCGAGACCAGTCTCGGTCTCAGTCTCGGTCTCGAGACCACTTTTTGCCGGTCTCGGTCTCGGTCTCGGGAGCTGTGGTCTCGGTCTTGGTCTCGGTCTCGGTCCCCTTTGGTCTCGATATTTTGGCTGGTCACAAGTCGAGACCAGCCAAAAAGTGAGGGGGGCGGATTCCACCCCCGGCCCTTTTAGGGTTAAGTAAAGTATCAGTTTAGGGCAAATGTGACTGCAGTGTGATGCTAATGGACATGTCTCTCTTCACTTTCTAGTGAGTGAGGCATAGTCCAATAACCATTGCTCCTCTTCTTATTTCTCGTTTTTATTGTGGGATGATTCGTTGAAACAAGTACTTTATAGCCATCCTCATTGATTCCAAATACAACTGAGATTTAAATCTTATGAATCAAGACTGAAACATTATTTTTACCGTCAGATTTTGTATTTTGAATATGGGAACAATTCAACTCTTTTTCCCTAGAATTTTTCCTTTATTAGTGGAGGCGGAAAAACGTTTTTTTTTCATTATATTTATTAATAGATATTTATCAATTCGTAGACTGTTAAATTGGTATTAGTGGTGGACAGCTGAATTTTGTGATCTCTTTATTAAAATAGACACGACTTGGGAATAGAGTATGCAAATTACGTGAAATGTTCACAGTTACTACTCAATACTGACATGTTCTTTATCCCAATTATATTTTTTACGAAATGGAGCATGTCATTTTTTTTTATCATACGGTCACTTTCTTTTTGACTCGCCATGTATTCATCTTTTCATCTGTCATAAACACAAATTGAGCTACTGCCATAGTCACACAAAAATAGAGTAATTGCCTGCCTCGTCTCCTTCCTAAATGTCAATTGCATTTGCATGAGTCGAAAAGAACTGTGTTCCATAATCGCTATATGCTGTTTACGGCCATCACAATAAACTATTAATATATTGGGGTCATTCCATGTCAGACCAACGCACTTTTTTACCTCATGTCTTCCAATTTTGATATTCATTGCTCATTAGGACCTACAAGCACAGCAATTTTTATTAAAATCGGAAGACATGAGGTAAAAAAGTGCGTTGGTCTGACATGGAATGACCCATTGGCAATATGTCGTACTTGTTTATCACTAAAATATTCAAGTAAATTGCCCAGCAAAGTAGCTGATGCGGGCGATACGATGGCACGGTACAAAACACAGAGAGGCGTGCGCACTGAGCCATGAATCCTAAAAGTACATCTCGCCCACCACATTCTATTGTGTCGGCCATATTCTCAATTAGGCTAATGACGATGATGACGGCGGGCAGATAAACAGAAGATAGATCAGGCAAATAGGGTTCATCAATCTTCTATAGTATATGTAACGTTATTGACATTACACAAATATAAAGTGGCATTACATTTCAGCCTTAGCCAGGCCTTCTTCAGAGGTAAATGACGATGATGACGGCGGGCAGATAAACAGAAGATAGATCAGGCAAATAGGGTTCATCAATCTTCTATAGTATATGTAACGTTATTGACATTACACAAATATAAAGTGGCATTACATTTCAGCCTTAGCCAGGCCTTCTTCAGAGGTAAATGACAGAGGAACAAGAAACAAACATGTAGGGGACACACAAACATGCAGGGTTGGAAGGAGAATCACAAAGAGGGATGGGGGGGGGGGGCAGACCAATCCATATCTGGCTACCATGTTCAAGTTTTGCAAAAACTAGTACAAATTGTCGTACTCCTAAGTTGGAGTTTCTTCATCAGATTTACACTTTATAGTAGTTAAACAATTTAAAAAAAAAAAATTTTTTTAAAGTGGCAAACATATATGGAGTTCATCAAATAAGGTTTTCCCCTTCTTTAAATTAGGTTGTTTCCAATTTTTTTAATTGATTGTGACAATAACAAATTCTGTTGCCATGTTGTAATTTATGGCATGAAGCAAACACGAAGAGCACTCGCATGACACAATTAAGCAGGTACAAGTGATTCCTAACTTTCAATCACTTCCTTCACATCCCCATGAACATCAACATCTCAAGGACAGACTGTTCAGCTGTAATTAGTGTCTTGTTGTTTATTTAGATTATTGTTATTTATTATCCGCGGTCTCGGTCTCGGTCTCGGACCATTTCGGTCTCGGTCTCGGTCCGCCTTGAAGGGGCAGGTCTCGGTCTCGCAACTTCGGGTCTCGGTCTTGGTCTCGGTCTCGGACTATCCGGTCTCGACTACAACACTGTTGGCTACACAATTGAAAAGGATACTTTGATGCGCGCACGATCGCGACGTCGTCGTAGAAGTTGAAATTTTTCTACTCTTGCGACTATTGTTTTTGTTGAGCGCCGACTACTTCCGATCGTCTTAATATCGTCACAGTTACACTCAGGTCGCAAAAAATCAGCGACTGAAATGTTCCCGACGGTGGTAGCTCAGACGCAGCTGGACCCTGAAAAGTCAGTCACCGACTGATCTGTGTCGTCGCAAGGTCGACCTGATGGCTGGCTTTAATTTCGAGCCTTGATTTTAACCCTTCTATGCAAACAAACTGTACATTCTGTGCTAAGTTGTCACCGTTCAGTCAAAATCAGTCAAGTGACTGTTTTTAACAGTTGAGTGCTCCCTGCCTATGATAAAGCAGGATTGACAGGCTGTGATTGTTTATGTAACTTGATATAGCTATGCTTTGACTGTAGCCAGCTGTGCCTACCAGTTGCCTGCTTTTGTCTGTTGACTCAATTTGACTAGTCACAGTGCTCGCTTGAAATATGATCTGACTGTTGGTGACTAGCCTGTGTAAAAGGCATGGAAGAGGATTGTTTGTTTTTTTCGACTGTATGCGACTGTTCAGACAGCAGGAAGGCTAATGTAAAGAAATAAGGGGCTATGAAGATAATTGTAAGGTTTGTTGTGTGTTTTTTTTTTTGGGGGGGGGGCAATTTAATTATATGCCTTCTATACCAAAGTGGTTTTTCAGTGTGTTTTATTTGCATCATTTCAGCCATCTCCTACTTCAAGTTAAGACACTGAAGAATGTGGAGTTACCTCAGAAAGGTGAGTAGCCGGACAGATAGGTAGTCTATGTAATAGAGCCATGGTCAATGATATATGAGCAGATTCGCTGATTAATTAGGCAAGACCCTGCCTCTTGACCTCCTAGATTTTGACGAATCAGTGGGCGCTTTCTATATTGTGTCGGGTCATTCATCCATTGCGCGTCATAGACAATGGATTTAAAAAAAAACCTGTGTCACGCGTTCTGTATCATGTTACACCATATGCGCATATATGGCTGTTGTTGCATTACAAAACACTGCATTCGAATTGACCAATCAAACCATTTAGTCCTGATTTGGGAATGAAATGACGTCATGATTTAGTAAAGTCAACTCCCATTGGCTGGTGCGCGGCTTGCATATCTGCATATATAGACATAATCGGACGTTGAACAGGACTTGGCTTCGTGGATAACAGGTGATACTCAGACTGGATAACGGGTGATACTCGGACTCATAACAGACCAGTAGCTTTGGGGGGGGGGGGAGGGCAGTAGGACATTTTGAGGTGCTTATTCAACCTTGGAAAGGCTTGCACCAGTACTTTTCTTATAGTAATTGAGATTTCAGAGAAAATGCAGTTAGCAAGGCTATGGAGGTACATACCCAATCAGAGAAAAGTGAACATAATTGTTGCTTTAGTGCATTAGTTACGAATGAAAACAAATTGTGTTCAAGTTGCATACCCCCTGCTCTTCGAAAAGTGTTTTTTTGTCTCCTGACGAAATTTCAATTTGTATGTTTTGTTTTTAACAAAAAACAACGACTTTAGTCTGATTTTGGGTACCTGTAACCCCTCTTAAAAAGGGCTTTCATTTTGTGCACAAATTAATTCGCCCTGCGAGGTCCGCATTATTGTCGACAGGTAATATTTTGAATTATTTTGAAGAAATAATCCAGTAACCTAAACAGCAGTGGAATTTTTTTTCGTTTGATGTCTCATTCAGAGTTAATTCAAAAACAAATGACAGTGGCGGATCTAGAGGGGGGTTTGGGGGTTGCACACCCCCTACCCCCCCCCCCCCCTTTCATCAGCTGACTGATGTTATGATACTGATAAAATGGGGCCAAAATATTAAATGAAATGCTCAAGTTCCTCAATTTTGTTTTCAAATTGCCTTAGAATGCAGGAGAAAGCATCAAAGATTTCAACATTTTCCAGGGGCATTCCCTGGATGGCACGCGTTCACTCAGCCATCTCCCCTCCCTTTATTTCAAATCCCTGTTTCCTGAAAGTTAGATCTGCCGCTCCCTAATGAAGTTGTCATGATGTCACAGTTAATGTGCTCACCCAAAGACCAGGTACTAAGTTTCTATCTCCCTTACAGATATCATCAGCGTTGAGCAGACCATCGCTAACCTCTTCCAGCTGAGGGCTTACAAGGATGTCGCGGTCATTCCGGTCACTTCCGTTCAGGATGTGGGTCTGGACCTTGTGGAGCTGGTCTTCAAGGACCAGTACATCAGCCGCAGCGACATGTGGCGGCTCAAGAATAACCTGGTAAGGTCAAGGGTCGTTGCTATGCTGACCTCATATCAGACAAATATATAGTGCCCTCAGTGATTTTGAAATCTTAAGAATAACCTCTTATCAGACCTCTTATGGCTCAAGAATAACCTGGTAAGGTCAAGGGTCGTTGCTATGCTGACCTCATATCAGACAAATATGTAGTGCCCTCAGTGATTTTGAAATCTTATTGGTTGCTATGCACCTTGAAGTTGCTCCTCGCTAGGGATGCGTTCCACTTATGCGAGCAACGCAAACGGTGACAACAATTTCTCTCCATGCACAAAAAGATTGTTTGAGTGGAACACACCGGTAAAGTCGGATTGACCAACTTCTCCAGCACACTCTCGTGTCATGCTGAACTGCAGTGCCCCATTAGTATTTCTGTAACTTTGGAATAAGCCTCTGTACTGATCACACTTTGTTTAGGTGTGCGCTTTTCTATGGGGCTACGAAACCGTCGTCCCCACCAGGCTCCCATAAGAAAGAACACATGTAAACAAAGCATGACATCATCAGTAAAGAGGCTTATTATTTACCATCTAAAATTCATCTCAAAGACGAGGTTGTTAAAAGGCAAAATAGACCAACTTGCTCTGTTTTAGACCACATTCCAGAAAACTCACGTATTGCTCATCTTTGAACTCATGTTAGAAGCCGTCACTGATTTGGCACCACGCTAGAGTGCATGTTGCCCTTGTTCTTTAAGTCAAGGCGTGTGCATTTTGGTAACCCTTTTGGTCGATGGAGTATTGAGTGCTTGCATACCACCTGCATGTGAGCATGGTTCTATTGATAGTAATGACTTCTAATTTAAGGTAGAGTCCATCATTTGTAATTTCTGCATTTTTTGGTTTGAAGAAACCAAAAGTGTTCAAAATCTAAAGAAGGGTGCTGAACAACTAACCTGATGAAGTTTTAGCTTAGTGAATGCTGTAAATTCCGAGAAAACAATATTCTAGGATATTGATTTTAATTCAAGAGTTGCCGAGTCATGTTTTGAGTGGCGCCCGAAATCAGCGTCTGTGACACGTTCTCATTCAGCCGATTGCAGCTATACACAATGTCCTGCGCTGAACCGACAACTTGTAGTAATCGTGTGTGCGTGTGCGTCGTGTCAATGCTTGAGCACACCAGTTGCCGAATTAAAAGCGAATTACTGAAAGAATATAAATTTCCAAAAATGCGTCTGTAGACGCGTCTTTGTCTATTATTGTTTTCTTCTAAATGACAGCATGCCAGAAAGAATAAGTTCACAGGGAGTTTAGTGCCATTACTATCTTTAAACCAAGTAAGCTTTTTAACAATAATATTGTCAGTTACTTTTTGGATAGCTTTAAATGATGTACTCTACCTTTAAATGTCACTGAATTAGTCTATTGTCATGCCTTGCCTGTAATCGACTTCTAAGGAACTAAAGTTAGCTACTAAACAATGTTCCTTCCTCAAAGAGTGGAACAGTTATTTTGATTCCTAGATTAAAATCAATGCTTTTTAATTCCTGCACAGATTTGTGCCCAAGCCTAACTTGTGCATTTCATAACAGATTAATTTTTCTTCAGCCAGACATACGGAGATGTCGTAACAGCTTGCAGTAGATTACTCATGTAGACTTCTTTCGACTTTTTCTTCTTCCGCCCCCTCTTTAACACGTAACGTCTCCCACCGCCTTCCTTCTTTCTATCTAATCCATTCCGTTTGTCGGCACGTCAGCTGCCCGAGTCTCCCTTCCAAAACTTGCCTCTCCCCAAACAGCCAAACAACCCAACTGGGAATTCCCTGGTTCTGTCTGCCGCTATGCATCATGGGTAAGATTCAGGTGTCGGGAATGAGCTTAAGCCTCCCTCCCCCCCCCCCCCCCAACAAAAAAAATGTTCGTTTGTATACTGCAGAGATGCCACTTTTCAGGTTTTAACCTGAATTCAGGGTTTTTTTCAAAAAGTGTGACAAATTAAAAGTGCTGGATTTGGTCTGAAACATCCAGAAAACACATTTTTGAAAGGGGGTAATGGTAGTTTCAGCTTTTGTAGTAGTGTTTCAGGCTTTTCATTGATATATTGGTGGCATCTCTGATACTGTAACGCTTGAGTGTCCATATGGGTAGGTAGGAAAACAATTTTAGATTGTAACTTTTTATAGCCCTAACAGTCCTGAATCCTCCAATTTCAATCATGTCAATACGATTTTGCACACCCCCTAGGGAGTTAGGGTTGTTTGTCTGTCTTCTATACTTACTTGTAGTGGTGGTTAATTAATATCCAAATTTTTTAACATTCAGCTCGGTTTGGATTTACAAAACCTTACAAAATTAAGCCTTCCATTTTTTTGTGATGCAGGCTAAAGAACACAACTTGAACATCTCCCAATTTGCTTTTGTCTCTGATTGTGACCGCATTCACTCGCTAATAATGGTCTTCTTGGTTCACCAATAGCCTGCCCATTTGACTGTTCAGAGAGTTCCCACCCATTTTTTTCACCATTGCAGCTCTGGAGCAAACATATTGTTCTAACCTTATTAAAGCACTATTTCATGGCATGGTTGTGCTAATGGTTGCCCGCACATGGAGATTTCTATTCTTATGTCACTGATTTAAGCAACTTTTTCTTCTGGGGTTAGGCATGCTTTTTGCCATGCCTACTGCTGCTTGAGATCTCCATGAAATAGATGGAGGCTCTGTTAGCAGAAAAATTGTGTGCTTATAGCAGCGCCATGAAATGGAACCCAGCTGAGAACACAAATGACATTCAAAAGTTACTAGGTAATGTGTAAAGTTGGTTACGGGTACTTGATTCCATAATCTGGAAACGGTTCCTGACATCAACGGTCGGGTACTTGGGTAACCGTTTCCAAGAACCGGGAAGTGTAGTGCAAACGAATGGAGTACGCGCGCGTGTTGGTTCATGGGCCGAATCACGCGCTAATGTCTTTTACACACATAATTGTGCGCGTGATGTATTCACTTCGGTACTCTATAGGTTTGGCATTTAAGTATGCGTGGTTTGTGTTTACTCATATGCAAGTAAACTACATACATGTATGGAGTTGATGGGTTGTTTTCAGAGCTTTGCAGGAGGGGATGGGGTTGTCAATTTCTGACTGACTTGAATTTTATTGTACACTTTGGATGAGTTTGTGTTACATTTACTATGTGGACTTGTGAACAAAAGATGTCCACATAATGCAGGTTGTGTTGGCGTTATGTGGACTAAGCCGTGTCCACATAATGTTTCGCTCTCTCTGGAAAACAGGTTTAGAGGCATTTTTGGGTTAGGTTTATCCGTGGCAAAATGAACAGAAACACTAAAGGGAATCATAGAAAAAAAATTGGGTTGAAAGAGTTTTCACAGTTGAAGTAAAGTTATTTTTTGTACCGAGTTTTCTTAACTACACAAAAACAAAGGAATGTCCACATAGCGTATGTAAAAAATGAGATTTCATTTCGATACAAAGTGGGATATAATACTGCATAAAATCTGTGTAAATAAGTTCTGCAGTTGATGTCGCCATTGTATTTTCCCACTAGCATGCTATGTGCATCGTTGGTAGAGTTGGTTTTCAGTTGCTACTGTTTATTTTGTGATTACAAAGCATTAGAATAACAAAATTGAAAGCCATAGAATGTTGTTATGTTACAAATTTATACCTGATGATGCGTAACATATGCTGTGGGCAGTGTTCCAGTTTGCATTCCAGTTTACTGTACTTTCTCTTTATGCATCACATGCTATTTGAACTTTTTGCCTATTCAATGCACCATTCTGATGTTTTGCGGTCTTTTGTCGAACTGGAAGCCTGAAAGGGAGTGTTGTCATTAGAGCAACATGTATATAACTCAGCAAAGGAATTGATCATGGAAAGCCCCAGGCTAATGTTGCCCTAGAAAGTCACAGAAGTTCATTTACAGATTTCTTTGGGAACCCTGCGCTTTTAAGTTAAGGGCCTTTAAAAAAAATATTGCTTAAGGCCAAAAAAAAAGTTTCAGGTTTCTGGTATGGAGCTTGCCCAAAAAGTGGTGCGGCGACGCGGCTTTTTTTTTTTTTTACCTGATTTTTTTGCTTCAAATGTCGGCTGATGACTGCAAATGGCGCCTGACTAAACTTAGTGCAAATATATGGGAGTCCAGAGAGGCCACATAAAGCTTATTCTCGACCATAACCCAATCTAAAAACACGTTAAAATTGTGCAGCAGCAGGATTCCAGTCAAACCAGTGAGTTTGGCAGTTTTGAGACATCATCTTTCATTGAAAAATTGTTTTTTTCATTTTGCCGACGCGCATGGCTACGGCGACGCGCGCGCATACCAGAAACCGGGGACTTTGGGGGGGGGGGGCTAATGGAAAGCAATAGGAACTAGGCCTGGGCCTACTCGAGAACCCGCAGAGAAATTACTTGCAAGTAGTCGAGTACTCGCGAGTAATTGACTGGATTCCCATAAATACCGAAAATATGGCATAAACATTAGTAAGAAGGAAGTTACTATTAGAGACACACCACATTCGTCAGCACTGAGATATCCTTACTATGCAAAAGTTTGGCTCATTTTACTTGTAACTTTATTTGTTGTGAGCGCTAGTGGAATCCCAAGGCAACAGACGGAGATAGTGATTCCTTTATTGCGGGGGATGTGTTAAGACAAAAGACAAGTGTGGCGCAGAAACCGCAAAGTGGTTACTTTTTTCTAAGTCCGCACTTGTAAAAACAAAATTGCTTCTCGCGAGTACCTACTTGTACTCATGCCAGAATGAGTACTCGAGTAGATTAAAAAAACCTGAGTAGAACAATGAGTAGCAAACATGACTCACGAGTACTCGGGTTACTCGCCCAGCACTGATGAGAACTGCCAAATTTTTTCCCCACATAACATTTTTATTCATCAAAATGTTAAACTGAGTAAGGCCAACCAAAAAAAAATTGTGTGCTTATGGTAACCCGACCTACCTGGAATTTTTGTGGCCAATTTGCCGACCTAAAACTTTTTATTGCTATTTTGCAAAAAAATTTAGTACACGTACATGGTTAATGAGTCTCAAACATTGCAAAAGAACACGTGAATGCATGAACTGGGATGAACGAAAAGACAAAATAAAATTATTTACCTACCTATACCTACCTGGATTTTTTCCAGGCAGTTACCGTAAACACACCATTTATTTTGTTTGGCCCTCATATATCAATATGAAGAGATGCCTCTGCTCTTTCTTTAATGCATAGCCTTTAATGCATAGCCTATGGAAAATGAATATAAATTTTTTTAAAGTCATAATTGCTCAAATGATATCCCATTAGCTCCTGTACTACATTGTATTACATTGTGTTTATTCACTGAAAAGTCACAAAAGTGGAACCCAAACCCTGAAAATTACATTTCATATTTCAAAAAATATATAGCACCAAAAATAATAATGATTGGAAAGCCAATTGCATAAGTTACTTTGAAAAAAATACTGAAATTACTCGATCCGTTTAAAGAATATTACCATTTAAACACAATGATCCTGAAACCTGTCTCGTCCCCAAAAAAGTGCGAATTCAAGAATCGTCACCGCAATTGTCTTCAAACATCACCAGCGATAAAATCTCAGTTAAAACGTCAGAAGGTTTCAACAGAATCCCTTTGGAAGCCTGTCCTTTAAAAAAGTAGATTTTATGAATCATATTGTTTGCCTAACCAGGGTAGTTAATAAAGATATTGTGTACTACAGTTGGTGACAGTTGTTGAGACAAGTATTCTGTGTCATTTTCTTTGTTGTTCCAAACAGTCAAAACACACAATGAATTGCTTTATTTTGGACGAGACAGGTTTCAGGGTCTTTGTGTTTAAATGGTGATATTCTTTGATTGGATTGAGCAATTTCAGTCATGTCAGTGTTTGTTTTCATTTAAAAGTAGCTTATGAAATTGGCTTTCCAGTCATTATTTTTGGTGCTACGTATTTTTAAAATATGAAATATATTTTATAGGCTTTGAGTCCCCCTTATTTGACTCACCCTGTATTACTATGTCATTCATTGCTTCAGTTAGCACTTCAGTTTCTGTGAATAAACCATAGAATGCTTGCCTACAAACATGACAAAATTTTGCCCATAAAAAAATATCAGTTTGCAAGGCATGTTGTATGAAAATTTGTCCATAGTGCAACCAGTATTTTTTTCAAATTCTTTTAATTTCCAAATGAAATCAATCAAAACATAATAATATCTCAAAACATAATTAGAATGCTTGCCTACAAAATTTTGCCCATAAAAAAAAGTTGCAAAGCATATTGCATGAAAATTTGTCCATAGTGCAGCAGTGTTTGTTTCAAATTCTTTTAATTTCCAACTGAAATAAGTCAAAACATAATCAAATCTCAAAACATAATCAAACGGTTCTTTTTGCTCCGACCCCAATTGACTATTTTTCTTAGGTTAGATCGTGTATCCACCTCCAGCAGAAGATTGAATTCACAGGCATCCGGGCCCAGGTCAACGAACTCTGGGCGCGGGGTGAAAAGGTCATGTGCGGGGCCGTTACCGAGGATACGCGGGTGGCGTTTCGATCCTCCACTGCCATGGTCTACATGTTTGTACAGATGAGCTCTGAGATGTGGGACTTTGACACGTGTGGTGAGATTTTTCTCTTTTTTCCACCTATATTTTGCATGAGGTGGTTTTCACCCGAGGCCCAGTTTTGTAGCTCTGCCAACTACAGAATTTTGCGATTTTGATCACCATTAAATTAATGTTCATGAATACCTAAGACAGTATACCCATTCCTATTGGTCTGGAGCCTGTCACGTGAGTGGTTTTAAATGTTGATTAAACACCAACTGGTTTTAAACACTTTATTCCTGCACCACTGCGTTCCGCGCCTCATCGCACAGTACGTGCCATGCGCGCCAATCTCCATAATTGAGGGTTTTTAACACTATGTGCGAGGCAAGTACCATAGTCAAGGCAAGAGGGGTGTTTCACAAAATTTGAGGTAGAATTGTGCTCAATCAAATATCAGCGTCCAGGCACCTACTGTAACCAGTTTTAAGCGTACTTGTCTAAAACCAGCCAAGCACGTATTTCCTAAATATCTCGATTTTTAGCATGCATTTTAATAAGATTCAATGCAGGACTAAGGACAGCGGTACACATGGTACAATACAGAACAGTTATTGGGCATATCCGCTCCAATCACAAGTACCCCCTCACTGGCAAAGAAAGTACAGTTGGGGATGACCGACCAGTGCCATCTTGCCTGATTGCAGTTTTGCTGCGATGCACGGCCACCACTAGCACTGTGTGTAGGGCCAATGATTTTCCGTTTCAGAGAAGTGCAAATTCCGTTTTCAAAACTCCTGCATTCCGTTTCAGGCTGAAAAATTCCGTTTCACATTTATTCAATACATAAAGAGGCATTTAAACATATACAATGTACACAGTAAATAATTCCAAGACTATAATGAAATAGTCGTTTGGTTGGAGCGCGGGAAAACTGCCCCAAAAAGATTTCTATTTTATCAACGGCCGATCAATGTACAGAAATAGTATTTAACTTCACCACAGTCAAGTCGTATACTGCACTGCCACTGCCACACACACAAGAAACATGCAATAGCCGTACAGGCCAATCCCATGACGTCACACACATCAGCTGGCCGAAGCGAAATTCATGTTCGCAATTTTGTTTTCGGCTAATGTTAGCGACAAAATAGGATAGTTTACGCATGGAGGAATAAGAACACACGGTAGATTTTGGACCTAAGCACAACATGCATTTCAATAGAGCCAAAGTTAGATGTTATACGAATGGTTGATTGATTGAACAGAGAAAAATAAACCTGCCGATGGAGCAAAAGAGACCCGCGAGAGCGTGCCGTGAGTGTATGATTTTCACCGTTGCGCTGATGCGTGCTGACCGACAGCTACGGCATGCGTCGGGACTGTCACTCCCGTGACTACGCGTACTACGGTAATGATCTCGCAACATTTATTGCTCTAATCTTGAACGTTTTTGTCCCCCCAAAAATTGTGATATAAACACTGCTCACTTGTTGTATGGCTCGTCTGTTCAATCAATCATCAATAATTCGTTTTGTACATGTACTCAATAAATTTAACGAAATTATGTTTTTTATCAATAAAATTGCAGAAATTATTTTCTTCAGATTCCAATTCCGTTTTCCATTTCGAGGAGCAGATTCCGCGAATTCCGTCCGTTTTACATACAAGCCCGCGGGAACGAGGGGTGCTGTGGGTGCTGCAGCACCTCCAACTATTTGCATTGGGGTGGTGGAATATGCTTCAGCACCCCCTACTCCCGGGCAAAAAGTCTAGCACAAACACTGTAAAATATTAAGAGGAGGTATTTTCTAAATCTTCAGGCAGTGCAGAATCGATATTTCTCTCAAGGTATCTAAAATCATGACATGTCTATGATATTTCCACCATGATGGAAGCTTTAATTGACCTGCAAGTAATAACCTCAGCCATGATGATGGTGGCAAAGTTGATTATGCTTTCCAGGATTTTTTTTTTTTCATTCGATCTTTCTGAAGGTTTTTCTTTTCATTTGAAAGTTTCATTGACGTTGCAAGCATTCTGTACTCAACCTTGACAAATAGCAAGGTGAATTGAAACCAGTCATGCTTCAATTCCAGTGTACATGTAGTTTTCTTTTAATGGAAAACTATTCATGTTTTACCCTATGCAAGTTTTTCCTCATAAAAACTCTGTATACTACCAGTAAATTTCACCACAGTGCATTCAGAATCCAATATGTTCTGGGGCCTCAAGTTAAAACGGGCCCCTGGCCCTGTGGCCCCAAGCCATAAGGGCTCGAAAAATAAAACAAATCATACACAACAGAATTTCCAATAATATTTACATGCGATGTCTTGCGTAATGATACAATTCTTTTCCAAAATTAAATGGAACCAAAAATGGAGAGAAAAAATACAGGGTTCTCCACTTTTCAGTACAATTAAACGTTTAAGAGCAACAGTATATTCTAAACAAAATAATGAAATAAATTATCTTTATAATCTCAAAAAACATTTGCTAAAAAAGTCAAATGAATGTGGCCAGGAATCGCCTCAGATTGCACCACAGAGCATCCGTATTCCAAATTGAGCCACGACGTAAGGGCTTTGCGCTCCGCTTTCGTATTAATTTTGTCCGTCCTTTAGAAATTCCTGCACCCCCTGACAAAAGTTTGTTCCAGTGGCAATGTGTACATTCTGGTACAACTGAATCCCCTGGTGTACGTGCGTCACACACAAGGAACAATGCGCATCAACCAGCGAAATGTCCCGCCCATGGGACGTCGTTGCTGGGCAAAATGGCGCCCTCTTTCCTTGGCGCATGGAGCCCATGGCGAGAACAGATGAGTTTTTATTTTACCCAATAATTGTTAAGAGAATTGATGTAGTGTAAGCAAAGAAATTCTTTGAGCAAAACAAATCCTTCACTATCCTTGTTGTGCACAGTTCTCAGTAATGGGAGGTACAGCCTATCATTTGTGAGGAGCTCGGTGGCCAAGGCGCTCCTATACCGCACTCCTTGAAATTTTTTTTTTTCAGGGAGGGCCAAAAATAAGGGCTTGAGGACTTTTCAAAATTGGACTGAACCAAGACTTTGCCAATAAGGACATTTTTTTTTTTTGGTAATAAAACTGGCATTGATGCCTCCAGAAAAAAAAGCCACGATATCTTAATTACATGTAAGCCATGCAGAAACAAAACCCATCTAGCATGTATACTTGTATACAAAGTAAATTGTCATAGCGGTGCAGCACATGCAGCATGTATATGCTGTACTGGGAACCAGTTCCAGCTGCATGCTGTAGGAGAGAACTCTAAAAGCCAGATCCGTAAAGGGAAAAACTACAGCAAAGGGCTTTGGGGGGGGGGAGTGGCTTAGCATGCATGTACGTTTGCTTGCCATGGCAATAGATGTATTTTCTGCATAAAGTGTGCACACTTTACCACTGGGCACGTGCCATATTCATTGGTTCCTGAGAGTGGTTCCATCCATCCGTTCATAGTCTGTCTGTCCCCGAACTCAAGGGTTGGACTCAATGATGATCGTGTCCTCTTGGTTGGATAGCTTTCCTCCACTCCGCTCGGTTCAATGCCAGACTGGCATTGATCTGCAGGCACCTCGGGTCATTGTTGATGTTGTCGCTCCACCTCTCCTTTGGACGGCCACGTGGATATTTGCCAGGGTTTATACAGCACCATCTACAATTCCTGTCCGTGGATGGGAAGTGGTCGGCTCTTTCACACAGGGGTGTCAGTAATGCGCATGGGGTTGTCGGCATTTCTGTTGGTTGCAGTGCTCATTGTATTAAGTGAGGAGTTGGTAGGATCTTGGTCACGACATTTGCATCGGCACGCTTCCATCAAAGCTGCACGGTATTGCGGGTTCATGGCGTTGTAGATCAATGGATTGATTGCTGAGTTGATGTGCAGCAGAAGGGCCGTCACAAAATACTGAACAAGGCTGTACGTGCTGGGAACATTGATTAACCTACAAAATAAACGATAGAATGTTAAGCAACTATAAGGGGTCTGACACACAAAAAATACTACTCCATTGACCACCACCATCCTGGCAATCCGGTTGCCAGTTTGCATTGCATCTTGGCTGCTACTTATTCTGCTGTCGGATCTCCTGAGCTTGTATAATACACAAATGATGCGGGTGTACATGTAGGTGTTGGCAGCTAAGGCAGCGAACCACGGAACAATGTCTACAAACAGGCTGAAAATGTACTCGGAACCCGCTACCCAATCGACCGATCCACAGTACATGTATGTTACTCTCGATGGAAATTCACTGTACATGTCCTTGTCAGGCCAGCGCAGGCAATGAAATGCTACCACTTGGGCGATAATAGGCACGCTCACGCCGGCAAATACCAAGCCTACCAGCCAGCCGAGTGCAATCAGTTTGTAAGTCCGTTGCCGACTGCGGATGCGACAAAATCTGAGCGGATGACAGAGGGACAGGAATCTCTCATAGGACACCATGGTCAAGAGTGCAATGGAGGAGTAGTACCCGAGGTGTACGAGAGAGGAAAAAACAACACACTGAGCTGAGTTTACAAATGGTTCGGTGTCCACCAGCGGCGACGAATATTTCATCCAGATTTTAACCGGCGCGGATGTACCGAGATAGAGAAGATCGGCCAGGGCCATGTTCGCCAGGTACAGAGTGGTGTGAGATTTCTTTTTGGGGTTCGAATCACGGCAAAGAGAAAACTGGAGTTGGCGATAACGCCGAAGCACAGAACGATTGGCATGGCAACAGCAGCGATGAAGGTTGTCGTGGGGTTGTGCACAAGCTCCATAACTTCCCACTCCTCAACGACGTAGACATGGTGCGTGCAGTTTCCCTCTGTCGTCGAGATGTTGGACGCCATCTTGTGATTAACAGTTCCGTACACTTCAATGTCTTGAATACCTCTCGTTTTATGCAATAACAATTGACTTAGATGCTGCGTCAACTGAAGACTTGTTGATGGAACACTGCAGTTAGAACACAAGTGTTTGTCCTTCAGCTGAGTGACTTCAAGTGATCTGCTGCTTGACCCAGAAGTTCAACAATAACTCTAGCCTCTCCTACCAGCACTT